GAAATACCTCTCAAATCATTGGACAGTACCTGGCCGGAAACTGGTCCATGGAAGCAGAGAAGTTGATCCAGACCCAACTGACACAAATTGCCATGTTGAACAACACTCGTGTGGACCCTGTGACATTGGGCCAATTTACGAATTGGCTGTCTTCTGCCTTTTCTTTCTTTAAGGAATGGGTGGGAGTAGGCATTTTTGGAGCGTTATGTTGTTTTGGGATTGTCCTTTGTCTGTGGCTTTTCTGTCGCCTAAGAGCTCGCCATAGCCAAGAAAAGGCTATGATCGTCCAGGCTTTTGCAGCCCTAGAGAATGGTATCTCTCCACAAGTTTGGCTTGCGCAACTTAAGCAATAATTTCCTGGGTTTTGGCCATTGCACCCCAAGTCATCTTTGACATTGCACTGGGTTTGGCATGCCCTCCTCTTCCTGCCTTCCCAGTTTTGGAAGGCCCATGCACTCTGCAGGCCTTGTTGCCATTGCACACAGGTGGGCTTCCATGCTGGTGCTGCACTTTATGCTTTGGACCCTTCGTTTTCTCAAGGGCTGAGGGATGGTGTTGCCACTTCCAACCTCATAGTCACTGACCGGCTACTTGTAAAATCCCCTTTCTTTTTCACCGTCATCACGATGCAGGATGCGAGGCAAGGCACTGCACTTGAGTGATCCCTCAACAGACCTCAAGGAAAGCATGTCCTATTGCATGCGGGTTTGACGTCCACGCCCCGCCCTACGAAAAAAGGCGTCGGCTGATATGGGACCAGGTCTAGGGAAGGGCCCTCCTTAGGACTGTACCATACACTGCAGCCACTTCTGCACAGTGGGATAGGACCTCTACTTTCGCCTGCATTGTTTTATAAAATAGAAGGGGGAACTGTGGTAAGCCATTCTTATAGACCGTGGCCGCCATTAGAAGATGGCGCCGGCTTCCACTGTGGCCTGTGATAAACAACTCCTTTTTTGGAAAGTTGGCGCGCAATCCCTTACCACCCTATGAGAGAGATCCACGTGGCAGCTTGGGATTGGTATGCGGGAGGCTTTATTAGGCTGTGCTTGGGCGCTCGGCGGGGGGTCGCTAGAAGATGATACTTGAATCAAGGCCTGAATAAACTGCTGAAAGAAGAATCCTGTGTCGTGTTTTCCCTTGCCGGCGAGGGGTCGCGACAACCAAGCACACTTTCAACAGCCTCTCACCTTTGCTGCCCTCACCACCTCCCTGCCAGCATAGACTCCTGGGCTTTGACTCCTCTTGGGAAACTGAGACTAGGCAACAGGAGTCACCAGAGGTCTGTGTGAGGCCTCTGAACCCAGAATCCTTATGGTGGCCAGGTCCCTCAGGGCAGATCAGACATTGACTGTAGATGATTCACTGAACTTCGCTCCCCAATGGGCTCCCTACTGGGTTTCCCCACCACCTTCTGGAGACAGTTCCAGAGCCCTGTAACCTAGAGTCCCCTTCCAGCTTACCCATCAGGCCTTCACCTGGCCCACAACCTCACCATACTGACTCTCAGAGCCAGTTCAGGACCTAAGGCTTAGCCAGCTTCATCTCCCTCTACTGTTTCACTTCCTACTTCACCCACAACCATATTGGCTTAAACTTGTCAGTCAGACACCTAAAGAACACACGGAAGAGGCTCTTCTTCATGGTATCTGGAAAGATGCAGGTATCTGGGGGGTTGTATGTTCCAGATACTCCCCTGAGGACTGTGTAGCTACATTCCCACCCACTGATCCTCTCCCATCTCTGGCCAGCTTGGTTCCTACAACTGCCCTCTCCTGGGATGCCACCAGAACCCTCTTCAACAAGCAAACTTGGTCTGGCTCTGCCAGCTGACTGCTCTCCTGGCTTCCAGCTGCCCTCAGGCTCTGGGAAATAAATCCTCCTGTCTTGGTGGCTGCCAGAGTTTAACAGCAACAGAACTAGTGACAACAGTTAAGTCACATGGAGAGATTGCCCCATCCAGATCCCTGCCAGAAGCCCTGGGGCTTTTTTCCTCCCCATTACCCCTGAATTGTTAATGAGTTAATAAGTGTCAAGGTTCCTAATCACCCACTCAGCCTGTGAGGGATGACCTGCCTGAATGCACAGAGCTGGAACCTACGCCAGTTGGGGACAGCTCCAGAGCAGGCCTCTGCACCTCCATTATGCCTTGCCCTGCGCTAGGCCCAAGTCAGTCCCTCCATGCAGTGAGCTACCAGTGCATGCCCAGCTGTGAAACAAGCCCAGGAGAAAACACTAGCAGGCCTTTCTCCCTCTCCACCCCATAGCCCATCCAGCTCTGCCCTTGCTTCCCATCCCATCCTTTGTGAAGGGCAACACCTGTATTCTGTCTAGCCTGTCTGGACGAGAACTGTGTGCTCTTTTTTCTTTCTTTTTTAAAAAATATTTTTAATGGACCTTTATTTTTATATATGTGGTTCTGAGAATCAAACCCAGTGCCTCACACATTCGAGGCAACCCCAGCCCCTGTGTGCTCTCTTGATCACATTTTTTCACCTCCAGACACCCCAGCCCTGACATCATGGATGAAGCTTGGGCCAGGGTCCTCACCACTTACTTCTCGATCTTTACTGCATTTGAGATCAGGGGCTTAGGAGTTTGTGTCCACTTGTCTGTTCATCCCTCACCAATATCTCTTCAGCCCTCCTCAGGATCAGTTGAGATGCATGGAAGCTTTCTCACACTCTACCCTTGCTCCTTCTTGCACAACCTAGGGCTCTGGGATCCTCTGCCACAAGTTACAGGCTCCACGTCAGCACCTCCAACAAACCCCAACTTGAACTCAGTGTAAAGGCTTGGCTTTATATCTCAGCCTGTCTATAAATAATCATAGACAACAAAATCAAACTAGTCACCTATCTTTGCCCAGGCCTCTCCAACTTCACACATCTATATCTGCTAGTTGGCAACCTGGAGCCTCTCCCACACACTCTGCCATCCTTCTGGCTTCCCTGCCAACCCCTCCTAGGGATAGCAGGAATCTCCTTCTTTTCATGAGTGCAAACTTGGTTCAGAGAGAAGAGTCAGCTCCTGGGTCACACAGCCTGTCTCCAGCGGGCCTGGGGAAAGAATCAGGCTCTTTTGTCAGCAACATTTTAATTATTGTGGTTGGGGTGGGGGTATGGCTAATGAGGCTCTAGGGATCAGCAGAGCCAGAAGCTGGGGCAGGGGTGACTCAGCAGGAATGGCGGGAATCTGAGGGGTTGACAGAGTGCTAAATTCTCACCTCTCCTCTGCACGTTCCAAAGATACAGGCTGCAGTGAATGAGTGAATGCATAAGCTAAAGAGGACTCAGGTGACCCTGCCCAAGTGCAGGGTCAACACCCCTTCTCCCTCCCCCTCTACATACACTCAGGCACAGAGAAGCAGAGAGGCCAGAAAGTATACTCTGGGGACATAGGTTCCAGTGGTTGTCTCACTGTCTTCCCTCCTAGCCCAGCCTGGATTCATACCAGGTCCACCCTCCTCACAATTTGCTAGGGGAGGCCCCAAGGCCCAGAGCACTGAGTCCTAACTAGCCCCTGGGGGTGCAGTGAAAAAAACATGCTGAGTGGGAACACACTGCCCTCTAGAGGGGCCCACAGTCCATTGCAACAGGCCCAGGCTGCTGGGCACTTGCAAAGGCACCCAGCTAGGAAAGAATAGGTGAAAGGGCTACAGGGGCAAGAAGCCAGCAAGGATAGCCAGGAGATCTCAGAGATAGGCTGAAGAGTTGGAAAGACTGTTCAGGACAAGTGGGAGAGGCTGGCCTGGACCCTTCCCTCAGTTCTTTTTTTTTTTTTTCGTTATAGATGGTCAGCATGTCTTTATTTTATTTGTTTATTTTTAAGTGGTGCTAAGGATCAAACTTAGTGCCTCATATGTGCAAGGCAAGCACTCTGCCACTGAGCTACAGCCCCAGCCCTTCCCTCAGTTCTTTATTGTAAATAGGGAGAGGATCCCAACTCCATTCATTCATCCATTTGTTTCTTCATCCAACATTCAGCATGTGTAGCAACATGGAGGACCTCATCCTGGGTCAGACTCTGCCCAGGAGAAGATAATCCCTTTCTGGTTCAGGACCCCACAATGGGAAGTCAGAAAGTCATTTTAAAATAATTGTCTATGAGCTGTGTGCCATGGTGTGCACCTGTAGTCTCATCTACTCTGAAGGCTAAGGCATGAGGATCACTTGAATCCAGGAGTTGCCTGAGCAACATAGAATACACATGGCTTAAAAATAAGCAAACAAACACCAGCTGAAAAGTATGCTGTCCAGAGGTGGGGGTGGGGGTGTTGAGTTACCTGGCATGGGGTAGGCTTCCCTGCTTCCCTGCTCAAGAGGGATAAGTGGGAACTGCTAAGCAAATGGGGAGCAGGGGCTTATGCACAGGCCCAAAAGGGCAAAGAAAATTGGTTTAGAAGAGGTTAAAAAGGATATGACTAGGACACTGTATGAGATGGGCGGGGACTTCAGCAGCCTTAGTGAGGGCTGAGGCACATCTGGGAGCATGGAAGACCATGAAGAAGTTGAAATGAGGGGTAGAAGATTGGCTGGAGATGCCCATAACAAGGGCTATGTGTGGGTAGGGCACAGAATTCAGAGATAAGTGTGGTCTGGACTATGACGTGGAAGCAGGTAACCCTGAGCCAGTGAGGAGGGCATGGGGTCCATGAACAAACTCAGGTTCCCCCAGCTGTGATGAGGGCAGTAACTTCCAACAGAATATGTGAGCTTGATTTCTGCTTCTGGTCTGGGGGTGCCTGGGCTTCTGCAATGTCACCTCTACCCAAAAGCCAGCCCAAGCCTCATGTGGTAACCCACATCAGCATGGTCCCTGCGGAAAAGTCAAGCACAATCATGCCCACTGGCACCCCCCCCCCCGCCCCTAGGCTCCCTTGGAACCCCAGCCGTCCTGGGCCTGGGTTCCCCGGGCCCCAGGCCATATCCCTAGAGATTTCCATCATTCCCACAGCTGTCCCAGGAGCCCTCTCCACCGCTTGTCGCTGGGGCCCTGTGGTTGCTAGGCTGCACTCTGGGGCTCCCAGCCAGGCCTAGTGCTGGCAGTAGTGGTGGAGACAGCGTTCGGATGGCTGCAGAGTCCGGGCGTTCTTGGGCTCAGGCGCGCAATGCGTACGGCGCGAGTGAAGCGCTGAGACAAGGCGCTGGCCGCCGACGGGACCCAGGGTCGCAGCCCAATGGGCCAGTCTCTGAAGTCGTTCGCGTCCCAGGCCGCCTGGCTCGTTTGCGCGGCCAGCTCCGAGCCCAAGCTGCTGCACGGGCCGAGGCACCGCGACTACTACGGCTGGTGGAGCGCGCTGGGGCCGGGGCTGCGGGGACCGGAGCCGGAGCGGGGGGGACTGGCGAGAGGATCGAAGCGCGCAGCGGTGGTTCGGTGTGTTCCGTGTGCGGGGAGCCGCGCGGTGGGGCCACCTACCCGGCCGGCGTCCTTGAAGTGAGCGAGCGGCGGCTGCAGGAGGGCATGGCGGCAGTGCGGGCGGAGCTGAGTACGGGGCTGGAGGCGCTGCGCGCTGAGCTTCAGGCGGAGCTGGACGCCCTGCGAGCGCTGCTGCCGCCGCCACGGTCACCACCACCCGCCCGCCGCGAGCCCCGTGCTGTCCCGCGGGCAGGATCCCGAGCCCCAGCCCTGCTGCGGGCGCTAGGCACTGTGAACGCCTTGGTTGTGGCTTCCAGGCCGACCAACGACTTCCCCGATGGCCCTGCGGAAGACCGAATTCCTGCCCGAAAGAACCACAAGAAAACTCCCGTGCAGCCAGCGGCCCCTCAAGGTGGCGGAGATTGAGGGCGTCCGCACTTGAGGGCGGCCCAGGGAAGTGCAGGAATCGCCTCTAGCCAAAGGAGGCCAAGGTAGAGATCTGATCTCCTCTTGGAGCGTATTTCTAAGCGAGAAGAGTCCGCAAGCAACCAACAACCGTCAACGAATGCGGTTATTTATTTGGAGGGTGGGCGGCGTAGGGTAGGGATTGCCCAGGATCATAGTCTGCAAAGGGTGGATGGCTCCGGATAATCACCGCTGCTGTCAGTCTGGACTGGAAAGGGCTGGTAGAGCCCCTTTGGGCCTTAATGTAGGGGAAGGGGGCTGGGGGCGTAGCTCAGTGGTAGAGTGCTTGTTTAATATGTGCAAGGTCCTGGAGTCGATCCCCAGCACATAGAAAGAAGAAGAAGGTGGGCGGGGGGCAGGGGATGCAGGGGAAGGATCTGGGCCAGGGTATGTCAGCCTCCAGAAGGGCAACCAGAAACCTTGGGGTCTACAACCTAACTTCCCTACCTGCAGGGGAGGAGACTGCATATTCTTTTTCTTTAAATGTCTTAGGGAGGAGGCAGAGCCTCCATGCACTGAAATAGAGTCCCCTACACACACCACTATGCAATAGACTCCAGGGACACCTGGATGGCTGAGACATTGTGACCTGGACAGTACCACTGAGAAAAATGTGCTATTTATCTATCATTTATCATTTATCTATCTATCATCTATTTCCTCCACATTCCCACATATCAACTGGACAGCATCCTGACTCTGGCCAGCTTTGCTCCACTAACAACCAGGCCCTGTCTTACTGGATAGCATCACCTGGATAATCTCATCCAGTCAGTATCCCTTGGACTCAGCTTTGCTTTGGACAGAGACAGCAAGGACACTTACCCCTCACTTAGTCTAGCCACAGTTGCCTGGACACTATTGTCTCTCTAGAAAATGTCACCCTACAATCAAGACTCCATAGCCTAACTTTAGAGAGTGTCACCAGTGTGAGGCTTCATCATGGCCAGACAACTCTTTACTAGTTTTTATGTCACCAGGATCCACCAAACCAGTCCAGCTGCAGCAGAACCTGGAACCAGCAATTTCTTACCTACCGGTCTTGGGAAACCTCAGCTGGGGTTATCATTTAACTGGGCACAGTGTTCCCAGGTTGATCACCCAGATTGAATTTTAATAAAATGTCTAATCTTGGCTAAAAGTGGCATTTCTAAGATGTGCTAACTTTTCATATAGGAAATGTAGACTGGGAGTGGAGACCCCTTCTCTCTGAGAGGGATCTGGGGATCAGTCTGGGGGTTCTACAAGAAGATCCTGAGACTGGCTGTGGTGGGGTAGGGAAAGGTCACTCAGTGATCTCCCAGTTGTATGGATAGATCCTCTGAGGCCTCAGTGGGGTTAGGGCAGGAGTCCCCATGGAGGGAGGCAGCTCACCTTAGGTCTCCCCACTCCATTCACATTAGGCCAGGGTCACTGTGCATTGTTTATTGTGAGAGGGAAGTCATACTTGAATTCTAGGGGTCCTGCCAGACCATCAGGCTGAGCCCCAGGGCCAGCAGAGCCCTGTGAACACCAGCCAGGATGGGGGATCCTGGTGGAGCTGCTGATCGAATAGAGGCTTTGGGGGAGGCCAAGATTCTGCGCCCTCCAAGAGGCTGCAGAGGGCGGAAATTATCCGTGAGTGGTTCAGGGTGCAAGCCCAGCATCCCAGCCTGGGGCACAGTCTGGAACTGGGCTACCTGAGGTTTCAGGGGAAAAAAGATGGGTTAAGATGGGGTGGGGGTGGGGCAAGCAGGGGAGGGTTGAAGCCACTGGAAGTAGGCAACCTGGCCCAGGGTAGGGGCAGTGATCCCACCTGCACAGGTCCAATAGGTACGGCATTCTCGAAGACCGTCCAGAGCACAGAAGGCTCACAGCCGGGCATAGTCAGCGACCCAGAGTAGCGATAGTAGCGCAAAAGCCCCAAGGGGCCTGGCAACAGTGAGGACAATGGAAAGGTGGATGTCATATTCACTGAGACACCTGGGAAGGTGAGGGGAGGATAGATTGGAACCTCCCTCCCTGAGCCCTACCCTCTCCACCCCAGCAAATTCCAGCCCAGATGTGACCCCAGCAGCTCCTCACCAGGTATAGACACATTTTTCAGGCCCAACACAATAGCAGAGAAGTTGACATTGTCCTGGTCCTGCTCCTGGGGAGGGATCCCAGTGTGAGTGGCCCTGACCGGAAGGTATACAAAGGTAGGAACTCTGAAAGTAGTGGGGAGACTCTACTGGGAAGTTCCCAGTGGTAACGGGAGTCTGGGGGATCTGCTAGGGAGAGGGCCCGTGGGAGGTGACAGTCTACAAATCCACAACATCCCATTGGCCCTGTCCTTCCACAAAATCCTTAAAATTCTACAAACTTTATAGATCTCTGAACCATTTCTTACTCCAAAGGTCCACCCTGCCAGCTCCATACCCCTTCAAACTCCCCTTTCTGGGAAAGCACATGGAGCCTCATAGTTCTTCCCTCACCGCCAACAGCACTGCCAGCACTGCGAGACCATCAGGGTGACGTCGTGCCTCCTCCATGCTCTGGTACTTTGTATTTATGTGGACAATGTGCATCTGGGGAGGCAGAGACCACAGGAAGTACCCAGCTTCCTCTCCCTCCATGTTCCTCTGACCTCTGTGGGGCACTCCTGCCACCCTACCCCATGCCTGACCCACCTCCATGGAGTAGTGCTGTCCATCCAGGCTGTGCTCCGAGCCTGTATGCCCTGGGGCCCCCCAGTGAAAGTACAGCTGCAGAGCTCGGTAGGCAGGTGGTGGCAGCCCAGCTCCCCAAATCTCCAGGCCATTCTGTGGACCAGTGTCCATGTGGAGTAGCACTGAGGGTGAGGGAGCATATGACACTCTTTCCCGCTAACTCACCACCACCTGCAGTGGAAATTCCTCACCAGCTCAACAGGGGAGAGGGCTGCCCTCCTGAGGTAGGCACAATGGCTCCCAGCTATGTGTGGTTATGATTACTGTCCAGGTAGAAGATGCTGGGAGGAATTGTATCTTCTAGATGTGTCCTGAATCCCTGTCCTCAGGGCCTGTGGCTGGCTGCTATTTTTCCAGAAGGTCCTGATATCTATGGGGATTGTGCTGGTCACTGTGTGTGGAATTTCCTCTGCAATGGAGATTCTTATTTTTATACAGGTGTTCCCATCCTTGTTTAGAGCTTTTTAGCCCAGTTGTAGGGGTCAATGACTTACATTTGTGGAGGTTTTATATGGTGGTTCAGCTCCCATGTGTGAGTCCTGATCCTCGTGTATTTACTGCAAGTTCCCTTCTGCTTTGTGGGGTTCCTGACCTTTCTGTGGGAGGTCTGACTCTAGGGCGCTGACCTGTATGACCATCATTCTCCAAGGACCAAGGGCCTGGAGGTGCCAAGTTGTAGCCTTGAAAGATGAAGGGCTGAAGAGTAGAGTCCTTCTGAACCAGGTGAAGGTCAATGTTGATGGGTGACTGGGTTGGGCCTCCACAAGCAGGGGCTAACTCCTTCCAGTGAGTGGGGCCTAAGGGAACAAGGTCTAGGGTCCATAGGGTAGATCAAGGAGGTAGTCTGGGGTGGAGAGGAGGGTGGACCCCATATACCCAGAGAATAGCCCAACTTCAGGAAACTCCTTTCTGCTCCCTCCATGCACCTGGAAATGTCACAACATCCCTTTCCCCCCATCCTGCACCTGACCTAGCCACCAAGTCTGCAGGCAAATTGCCCCACAGAGAGGGTGAATGGAATCTACTACATGGTTGCATACCCACAATGGGGACCTCCACTACATGCACATAGTTGGGCTGGCCACACTGACAGGCTCACAGACTCTGACTGATATGAGCAGGCCTGGGATCACAGCAGACCCAGACATATATACAGAGGAACAGTCACATGCAAGCTGTCTGGTGTCCAGTCACTTGGACACAGAACATAGGAGCCTGCAGAGAACACAGAACCATAATATGCAGTCTGTCTCTTGATCACACTTGCACCACTCTTGGCTCCAAGGCACAGACCAATTCCACACAGCTCATGCAAAACTTTCCTCACCACACTTTGGGTCCTGGGAGTCGTAGCACCAGGTACCTGCAGATAGTAAGCAGGGGATTGAGCTGAGAGACCTCTACAAACCCCCATCCCAACTGGGCACAGGAATGGAGAATGGGACTTGGGCCAGGAGAAACCTCCCAAGCCCCCTCACCTCAAACTACTGGCAGTACCAAACAGGAAGTGGAGAGTGGCGGGATTGGGCAGATTGAGACACTAGATGGGCAGAGTCCTGGCGCTCACCTTCTGAATATGCCGGCACCATCAGTTGCACCGCGAGGAAGAGGAGCGCACAGCCCAGCGCCTGCATGGTGGGGAGGCGATTGCAGCTCGAAAAAACTAAGTGGCAGAGAACCTTGGAGCAAGGCTTCAGGTGAGGCTGCTACATATTCATTAGTGGGATAGGCTAGGGGCGTGGCTGTCCTGTAGGCTAGTGGGGACAGGGCAGCAACCGAGAGGGTCGGAGGGGGCGGAGCACAGTCAAGGCCACCAAGGAGTCAGGGCTCCAAAATCACCCGGCACACGCCTTGATCCCAGGGCTTCAGCAGCATGCCAGCATAATGGCTGACATCAATAGCAGGAGATTATGTGCCCTATTATTCCCATTTACGGTAGATGAAACGGGACGCTGGGGACTAGAAGTGACAAGTCAAAGCCATCAGCAAGGAAGTTAGTTGTTCAAAGGATGAGGACACCTTGGATCCCAGCGCCAGTGACTTGGGAGGCCAGGATGGGAGGGGGATCTGAGAGGACGTTTCTTGCTTTACAGCAGGCCTGGGACCTCCAACCCATCCCCAAATCACAGCCTCTTCCCTACCTATGCCCCTTACCCTCAAGATTTGGCAGCAGCTCCACAGATTTCGGAGACCCCCAGTTCACTCTCCTGGAAAATGATTCGTCTGCTTCTGGTGTGGTTCCGAATACTTGTGGGTGTGAGTAAAACTGGGCTAGCGCATTAAGCGCACGCGAGATGGGGTGGAGGGACACCTCTGTACCTGGCCCCTAGTTCCAATCGCCAGCGGGTCAGGCGCTTGCAGCAGCAGGGTGGGGAAGGGGGCACTGTCCGTGGTGCTGAGACAGGGCCATTTAGCCTTCCTACTTCTCCAGCTCTAGCAGATGTGTTCAGGAATGAGAAATGAAGAAATGGAAATCCCATCTCTATCAAGAGACTTACCAGTTCCTTCTTGACCCTCAACACCAGCGTGCTAGGTCTGCAGTGCCCCCTGCTGACACCTCCCGGGCCAGAAGGAGTCTAGATTATAAGGGTGAGCTTGGATGAACCCAGGGTTCTCACTCTGAGCCTTTTGTTTTCAAACGACACTTGGAGAACATAAGTTAGAGTAAGTTCTTAGTACCAGACCCTGCCCCTGGCTCTCACAAATGATAACAGCTCTCCCAAACTTTTCTGCAAGTGTTCCAAAGCCCCAACTCTGCTAAGCTCCACATCTCCCCGCCCTCCCCCCAGCTCTTCTGAGTCATCTTCTTGCCAGCTGAGTGAGCCCCAGCAGGGCACCTAGTCCAAGTCTCACCGGGCCCTGCCCCAGTTCCTAGAAGCAGACCTCCAGTACTCACTGGAAAAGTAAGCAGTTTGTCTAACCCATTTTACTCCAGAAGAGTTCCAGAGGGCCCCAGCCCCTTCCCCATCCCACATGCACTCTTTTAAGAGTTAGGGATGAGTTCCTCTCTGGAGATGTTGAGTAGTCAGATCCCTATCCGGAGACCTAGACATGTACTAGCTGGGGCTTCAAAACAGGTCTGAAGAGGCACCAGAGGCCAGGGGTGCTTCAAAAAGTTAGATGGCTTGGGCTTCAGGGAGAAACTGCATATAGGCACCTAAATGGCTAATAGAGCTTAGAGTTGGGGTAGGGGATCAAGGTTCAAGCTGTCCCATGCCTGGCCCATCTGATACTGTTTCCTAATAGTCAGGATAGCCTGCCTGGTCAAGTAGGATGCAAAGCAGCCTTGTCATTCCCCTAGCAAAGCCCAGGACAGCAGGGTTTGGGTGTCAGAGGGAGGGAGCCAAGCACAGGGCTGGGTCCTCTTGTTGCACACTCTGCCTGGAGGCTCCAAATTCAGATCCATCTGGTCCTCAGCCAAGAGGTGTCAGGGAGTCTGCTTAATAGCAGGTGCCCTAGTCACTCTCACCTCGGCCTGTGGCAGCTCTGGGAGTTTTATCACACTATAAACCACACCTCTTCCAGAACACAAGTTTATTTGGCATTTGGATGAAATGGTTCTCACAGCATTTTAAGAAAAGGATTAGTGTCAACTGGACCAAAAATACACCTGAACTAAAACCCTTAGTGAAAGGAAAATGTAAAAACAAGCATTGAGACAATGTACAGTATCAAATTCCACCTCTACAAGGCAGGTCAGGGGGCCCCAATCAGAAACAGTGGCAAGGCAGTCCTGGGGGAGGGGGTCCCTCCCAGGAGCTTGGTCGGTCCCTCCAGGGCCCTATTATGGAGTGGGTGGGGAGCATCTCACACAAGAACACAAGTCTCAGCAAGGCTGGCCTATGGAGTACAACCAGATCTTGCAAAAGATGGCACACAGGATGACAGATGGCAGGTGGGAACATAAGGGCAGATCCCAGCTCTCCTTGCTCCATTCACAACTGTCCCCAGCACAACACCTGGAGCTGCAATAGTGTCTCAGCAGTCCTGCAAAACAGGCCTTCTGACCAGTCTCAGGACATCAGTGGGCTATGTACCCCAAGGGCCGGCCTGATGCTTCCCAGGGGAAAGGAGCCACTGGGCAATAATGGAAGAGCACCCATAACAGACACCTGGCTAGATCCAAAGCAACCCATCCTCTTCCTCAATGCCTCCTCTAGGTGCCTGACTGGCCCCAATAGTCCTTTGGTCCCCAGAGGAAGCTTCCCAGGTCCACACACCTCATGCCAGCTGCCCTGTACACATGGTTCTGAAGTCTCGCTGAACTGCTGGTGCCATCCCTGTGTGTGGGCTCTGCTGGGGTGTTCCTCAGGATCCTTTTGGGTCTCCGGGCAACAAGATTCTTGATGGCCGCTTTAGAGTCTGACTGCCCAGCTCAATGAACATATTGGAGACACTACATGCGTCCTGCTTTGTTCTCAACAGTGGGTGTGGGGTCCTTGTGGCTATGATTCCAAGGAAGCCCTCTGACAAGAGAAGCGCAGCCTCTAGATCTGGCTCCTGTGGGCCAAGCCCAGGAACAGCTTGTTTAATGACAAAAATTTATACCTCCAGCCAGCTCTGGTCAGGTCTAGGCAACCTGTAATTCTTCTGCACAGAAAGAAAACAAGTTTCCAACCAGTAAGAGAATGTGTCTAAAACTGAACTATGCACAAAGGCCAGTCACCACAAAGTACCGCTGAACCATATGCCTTACTCACTTCTTCCCATTGATTTTCCTCAGTGGCACAAGGTGCCCAGATCCATGATCCATGGGCAAGGGCAAAGGCTTAGACATGGCTCTGTCTGGAAACCTAAGATGAAATGGCCAACTTGGGAGAGTAGAACCCTACCTGACCCCAAGTTCCTGTGAACCATCACTTGCAAACATCTGGCCACAAACAGACACACAAGGACACACACACAAAAGAAAAGATCCAGACATTCAACGTAGAAAAGATATGAATGTGCTAAAAAATCGCACAGAACCCGCTTAATCTCCAAACTCAGAAATGCTAAAGGCCTGTGTCATGAGACAAGAAAACTGCCCTGAACAGGCAACAGGGTCCCATGGACAAAAGACCCCCAGCACCCAGTACTGCTGAGGGGTGGGAAGGTGTGCATGCAGCCACCACGCACTGAATTCCACTGGTGGCAATGGTGCAAGAAGTGGACTTGCAGAAGATGGACACAGCCCAGGATGTTCCTTTAGCCACCCCTTGCCCCAAAGAAACAATCCTTTATGGCACAAACAAGGTGAGGTGGAAGCATACCAGGCCCAGAGGCCATTCAACAGAAGGTAGGGCCCAGAGCAGATAGAAGCTCGCTTAGCGCCTAACCCTCAGTGTAGACCCAGCGCCTCCACCTGGGGGAGCCATGCACAGCAATGCATTGGAGATGGGAGGGGTGAACTTGGGCCTCCTGGCACAGAGTTGGGTTTCACAGAACCCAAGTGGAAAGTGGGCAGTAAGTTCAATTTCCTTCTAGGCCCCCTTCTTGGGCTTCAGGTATCTTGACGTTCACAACTATACTGGGAAGGGTTATCCCCAGAGCAGCCAGGATAGCAGACCCAAAGGCTGTCTCCTTGGAAAACCCCTGCTTTAACAATGAGTGTCCACAAAAACCCCCTTCCGCCTCCTGGGCATAAAGGCAGCCCCATGCTCCACCTGCCCTGGGACTCAGCGATTGGTTGGTGACTGGCCAGCAGACTTCACTGGGTGGCACATTATAGTGAGCAAGCCCAAGATGTGTTTTATTTGAGCATAGCTCAGTACCTTTTGTTCCCTACCTCCAAAACGCATGGTTTGAACATTTTGTCCTTCTCCCATTTAAAAAGGGATAGTGACCAAAAGCTATGCCATGTTTGTGAACCCCTCAAGGAAACAGCACAGATGCTTGCTCCTCTTGGAGGGAGGCTGGCCGCATTCTATGTACACACACGCTTGCCAGTGGGTATGCAGCAGTGGAACAGGGTTCCAGGCTGTGGCCCCTCCCACAGGAACCAATGTCTTCTTGACAGCCAACAGGTGCTCTAGCCCATTGGAACTGTAAGCTAAGCCATCTACACCATGGTATTGAGGGAGCCACGATTATGGCAGCCACCCACTGGTGGCACCTCTGCAGTTGGGGTGCTCCCACTCTGGGGAGGTTCTGGGGGCACAAGCAGGGTGCTGCTGCTGTCAGCAGAGTCTTCCAGGTCTGCTAGGGAGGCCCCCGCAGGGGGCAGAGGCTGCTCCAAGTGCCGAGGCAATGCACCTTCAGTGTCTCCATCCCCTGGGTTCAGTGGGCCAGCTTCCACGGGCTCAAAGGCATCATCGTCTGTAGGAAAGAGAGGAAAGTGAGAGCCTGGCAAGGGGGACAGAACAAGGCTGAGCAGACCAGAGACAATCCTGCCTGAACATTCCCACCTGAACATTCCCACCATTACTGGATGGTGAGCAGGCCTTGGTGGCCCCACTGGACCTCAGATTCTGGAGAAGAATCCTCCCCACGTTGGCTGTATAATAACATACTTGGTGGCCAGCTGCCTCTGTGGCTGGCATCTGTTATGTGCAAGACTGAGGTCAAGCCTGACAAAACAAACATGGGTTGGTCCTGTCCTTCAGTTTGTGGATGAGATGCAGCAACAAAGTGTCACCCAAAGAAAGGGAGATCAGAGGAAAACTACCTCAGACTCAGTAGAGCTGGAAACAGGCTCAATAGGAAGGTTTCAGCACAGGATGCTATGGAGTTATCAGGCCCAGGCAAATGGAAGAACATTCTGGGTTGCAGCTGTAATATGGCACCCAGAATATGAAAGACTGGGTTGGGTGGGCAGCCTTGAAAACCACATGGTGTCTGCAGAAAGCTTTGGTTCAAGAGAAGCTTTGGGGGAGGCAGTCTGTTCCCTTCATTTTACCTACCTAATTTTATGGACTCCTTTTGAGAAGCTGGTGGTAGGAGATCCCAATGATATACCCCTCCCCAGGCCAACTTTCCTTGTCACCCCCCCTGCACTGCCCTGCAGTCTGGTCTATAAGGTGTCTGAGACTACCAGCAGCAGCTCTTGAAGCATCCAACCTTGGCCTCATCCCTTTTTTTGTGGTGTTGCGGATCAACTCAGAGCCTTGCACATGCTAGGCAAATGCTCTACCACTTAGTTATACTCCCAATCCCTAAACTCTGTAACAATCTGTGTCCCAAGGGCAGGGTAAAATCCAAGACTCTCCAGTACCTTCAAACCATCAGCAGTGCTACTCTCAGGACATTCTGCTAAGGTATGTACACATACAAGGAGCCAGCTGCCTTGGGGTGGGGTACTGCCTGCAATACTACTATGGAATGGAGTTTTAGAGGGTATAACGCAAAAGGAAAAGTGGTAGGTAGCACCATACTGCACTCTAAGGACAGCAATGGGCCAGACAACTGGTGGGGGTGGGGCACTTGACCTTTCTTCTTAGCTAGAGTCATGGGAAGGATGACTTTTAGGATCAGATGGGCAATAGACTGAAGCAATTGGCCCCTCTCCCAGAGCTACATCGCAGCATGACATAAAGAACTGACATGACAATGTCCCTTTAGCTCACCACATGTGCACATGTATCTTTATAGCCAGGTGGCCCACTCCTGGGTCAGTCCCATCTTCATGATCAATGTTGCAGGGTACCCCATCTCTCCAAAGAGCTGAGCTGAAAGGACCCCAAGGGCTGCTCAGCTAATGGGTACTCATGGGAGGGAAAAAAGAGAAGTTCCTGTCCCAGGCTTCCCCAGAGCTCTTTACATAGATATGTGGAAGAAGGCCAGGACAGAGTAACCAAGCCTCTTCTGCAAAACCAACTCTAGGATTAAAGCCCTAAAGGGAAAACCAAAGAGAAGACCAAAGAAGGCCACAGTGAAGTGGGGGACCCCAGTACTCTAGAGCTGAGAAATATCTGTGGTCTTGGCCTTTGGTGCCCAATTGTTTGACAACTCCACATTCCCTCTTCCTGGAGTGGGTAGGCACCTGCAGGGTCGTAGAATACACTGTCGGGGTTGATGGAGGCCTCATAGGGCGGTGGTGGATCATCAGGCTGGTCGATGTCTGGGTACTTATAAGCTGTATAGGGAGGCGGAGGGTCGTGGAAGTGGAAAGTCCCGCCTTCCCCATCGTCAGAAAGATGCAGTGGGGTGAGACCTGTGCCAAATCCGTCTGGGCCATAGTCAAAGCCAGGGATCCTCCGGCCAAGGTTGAAGTGGTGCACTGGGCCGTCGAAAGCGAGAAACAGGAGCAGAGTTGTGTCACTTGGAGAAGAGCTGCCTGGTTCCTGAGCCCCCCTCCCAAGATTGGGCCTGCCATCCCCAAGTGTCACATTCTATACCCAGCTGCTCACATTCTGCATGTCATAAGAGAACTGTGACTTGATCTGAATCTCTTGCTTCCCATTCCCTCTGCCAATGTGCCATCAACCTTTGCCCCCACAAAACCTGCCATTTTGTCTTATTACTTTTACTACCACACCCTCCAGATCTAATGTGCTTCTGGGTGTCTAACTCATGAAGGTCTTTTGACTTCAGAACTTGGAGCTTAGTGAGGATTAAGGAAGGCTGGGAGGAAAAAGGGTTGCCCATAGATGAGAAACCAAGGCCTTAGCAATATGAATCCTTCAAGCCTGACCTGGGTGCCCTAGGAGGCACCAGGGGCCCTTCAGACAGCAGGCAAGGTACCTCTTACTAGTTGCCACCTGCCCCACCCCTCTCCATACTGCAAGAGGGGCTTTCCAGTTTGGCTTGGTACACTGCTGAGCAACTCTGGCTAACGAGGGCAAAACACACCAAAATGGTGTCTGAGGCACCTCTTCTGGTCACTGCGATGGAAACATCACTGCCTGAATAAACAGTAATGCCCCTTCCTGCTGTGAGGATAGGAGAGCAGAAGCTCTGTTTAATTTCAGCCTGTGAACTGCTCAAGTGCCCACCAGTGTCACTGCCTCCCCAGGGGTGTACTTGGCCTAGGAGCAGGTGCACAGCTGAAGAGGGGATTACCTTTGCATTATCTTCTGTGGCAAGAGGGCCTTCCTCCCTAATTCTCTCACCAAGGAAACTGCTGGCACCTCACCTTACCTCTGACTCTACCTTGGTGGGAACACAGGAAAGGGAAGACCTGGAGATGAGGGCTCAGGTGCCACCACTGTGGCCCTTGGAGGGCACTCACAGTTTGCTCCAATCAGTGACTCAATGCGCTCCCGGCGCCTCTGGCGTAGCCGGTGGACCATGAAAAGCAGCAATGAGAGGATGAGGAAGGAGGAGATGCAGCTGACGACTAGGCGCATTCCACTGGCCATAGAGTCAAACAAGCTGTTGCCGTCTGTGAGGGGGGAGGAAGGAAATCCACTGGTCTGAGAAAAGGAGCTTGCAGGACTGGGGGTATAGCATGAGGTCAGTCCTAACACACATAAAAAAAAAAAGAAAGAAAGAAAGAAAAGAGGCACTTGCACTGGAGGATGCCAGTGCACTTGAGAATTAGGATAGAAGGTAAAATGAAACTGCTCAAAATGGAGAACACTGTGACAATACCAAAAGCAGAAAGGGTAAAGTGGCTCAGGAGGAATGCTTCCACATGGAGCCCTTCTTGGGGTATCCTCACCCTGCTCTATGACAGAGTTGCTGCTCTATGACAGAGTTGCTATATAGCCTCAACTCTGGCTCATTCTGGGTAACTGAGTACTTCCAAGAGCTGCCAGACCCTGGTGGCTATTGTGTACAAACTTCCCTCTGTTATTGAGCAAAGGTAAAGCGTTCTGTCTCAGGACAGTCTTTTCTAGGAGACAGAACACAAGCTGCACTGTGCACAAGTACAACTGAGGCACAATATTTCTGCAGAGGCCACATGCCATTTCCCAGGTGCATAGATGCACATGAGGCCTGAGCCCTCCTCGGTCAATAAGACATGATATTGCAATCTCTGCTTCCCTGAGCTCACCCAGGTGAGACAAACATGACCTGGAGAACCATTTTCAATTATGTCCAATGCCCCCAAAACAATGAAGCAGGGTCAAGGGACAAAGGTGAAAGGCAGAAAATAAGATAGTGGGGCCAGGGTAAGGGAAGGCCTTACCAGGCTGCTTTCCATCCAAGGCCTGCGGCTCTTTTACCCGGTGAGAAAAAGCCAGGGTAAGGGCAGGCAAATGTACTATCCCAAATGAGTAGGGTCTCCCTCAATGGAGCCACTGGGAGGTTTGGAGAAGTCATAGCTCTATAGAGCTTGGATCAGGGAAGCTGCCATAGGAAGGAAAGGTTGTACAGAGGAGCATGAAGGTTGGGGAATCCAGTGAGGAGCTGTCTACACCACCCACCCAGAGAAAATGACTAAAGCTCAGATAGGGGTGGTGATAGATGAAAAGAAATGACAACATAGGTAAGACTGGAATTGAGATTTACTATGATTCACTGATGGACTGGGGAGGAAGGCAGGGAGCACCTGCTGCTGCCACACAGGGGTTTCCAACAACTGTTAGGGATAAGACTTAAAAAGCACAGTCAACTTGGGTATTATTCACAAAGGGGCCTCCACTGCAGCTGTGATTTGACACAATCCATGGCATACCAGCTCTGGGCACACCCATGCAAATGAGCAATTGAAACCCCAGTGTTGAACTTCAATGAATGTGTACACAATGCAAAGAGATGGTATCCCATAGCTAGCTTGTTCCAAACCAACACAGATGGCCAAAGATTGCTCCTATCCTCTTCCTGTGGAGTCAGAAAGCATCTCCAAAACCTGCATTTGTTGCTGACAACACTTGTGAAGTGGACATGTGAAAAATACATCCTTTTACCAATTAGCTGCTTTTCTGGATGCTGCTGACTCTCCTCCAAGGAACATTTCATTCCTGTCTGTAGGAGGAACCCCATCAGCTCAAGGAGCTGGTTGACATGGTTGTTAATTAGCAGCCAGCTCAGGTTCCCAAGGGATTGTCTAAGGAAGCAGTCCCTCTGCAATAACTACTAGTTCCTTATCAGTTCTAAAATAAACCCAAGAACATGGTCAAGGTTCCCAACCACCCCTCCACAATGAGACGAGGAAGAAGCATTTTCTAAAAAACCAAACCATTTGCAGTCACATACAAAGCCTGTCCCAAAAGCCAGAGGCCAGAGTAGAAGTCCTGGGAAACCCATGACATGGTTATTTACTTTATGGAGTCCTAGACAGTGCAGACAGGACTGTCTTCTGTCTCCCAGCTACCCCTAGGCTCCCAGAGGACATATCTTCTTGGGAGAGATGCTATTCAGGGCACCTTCAGTCCATCCAGCCCGGTCCTTAATCTGATGTCTGAACAACTCTAAGTCCCCAGGTGGCCCCCAGTCAGGACGAGAAGGGCTCCACTGATGAGCACCCAGTTTCACTGAACTTGGTTACATGGTAAAATATTGAAAAGATGGTATATAGAGAAAGTCAGCAAGAATCAGAGGGCTTAGACTCCAATGTGGGCTCCACTACATCACAAACTGCACCACTGGGCATCTCACTGTAGCTTAGCTCTTGGGGCCTTGAGATATGGCTGCATTTAAGCATCAGTGCCGGAAGGGACAGGTGTGAGAATTCCAGTTGCTGTATGCCTGAGCCAACACTTGGTGCTGTCAATTTTATCATTTTAGAATTTCCATTGGGTATGGTACTTCATGTAGATCTGTTTCACTAATAACCAACAATGAACATCTTTTCAGGTGTTTCCCTGTCACCATCTATCTTCTCTGAAGTACAATTTAAATATTTTTTACAACCATTTTTCAAAATGGTTATTCTGTTTTCTCATGGAGTTTAGAGTTCTTATATATTTTAAACACAAGAACTTTGTCTGATTTGTGTTTTGCAAATATTTTTTTCCTCAGTTGAAGTGGCTTGTCTTTTCATTTCCCTATCAATGTTTTTTTGAGAGAGAGAGAGAGAGAGAGAGAGAGAGAGAGAGAGAGAGAGAATTTTTAACATTTATTTTTTAGTTTTCGGTGGACACAACATCTTTGTTTGTATGTGGTGCTGAGGATCGAACCCGGGCCGCATGCATGCCAGGCGAGCGCGCTACCACTTAAGCCACATCCCCAGCCCCTTTGAAGCTGTTTTTAAAATTTGTTGATTCATCCCAAGATTACAAAAATTCTTCCAGTTTCTTCTAGAAATTTGATAGTTTTTCTTTTTTGGGGGGAGAGGAAAAGAGGTAGGGTACCATGGATTGAACTCAGAGATACTCAACCACTGAACCACATGTATTTTATTTAGAGACAGAGTCCCACTAAGTTGCTTAGTGCCTCGCTTTTGCTGAGGCTGGTTTTGAACCTGCGATCCTCCTGTAAGCTTCCTGAGCCCTGGGATTACAGGCTTATGCCACCGCACCTAGCTAGTTTAAGGTTTTATAGTGTGATTTATGACAATTTTGAGTTAATCTTATATATAGTAGGAGGTACAGCATAAGGTTAATTTATTTTTTGCATGTGGACATCCAACCGTTCCAGCACCATTTGTTGAAAGACTATCAATTTTTCAATGAATTGCTTTTGCATTCAAATATCACTTAACCATTTAGTGTGGGTATTTTGTTCCAACAGTCTACATGTTTATCTTTTCATGAGTATCACTTTTTTGATTACTAAGGCTTGTATATAAGTTGTAAATCCTCCAACTTTATAAAAATTATTTTGGCTATTCTAACTCCTTTGCTAATCATTGTTAAGTTTTACAATCAGCCTGTCAATGCCTACAGAAATGTCTGCTGTAATTTTGGTTGGTATTGCATTGTATTTATAAATAATTTGGGGAATAATTAAACTATTAATGATATCGAGCTTCATGACCCATAAACATGGCATATTGCTCCTTTTATTTATGCCTTTGATTTTCTTTATCAGTGTTATATTTGCAACATAAAGAATACACAAACAGCTGGATGCGGGGGTGCACACCTGTAACCCCAGAGGCTCTGGTAGCTGAGGTAGGATTGTTCAAGGCCAGCCTCAACAATTTAGCAAGGCCCTAAGCAAATTAGCAAGATCTTCAAAAAATAAAAAGGGCTGGGGATGTGGCTCAGTGATTAAGTGCCCCTGGCACACAAATAAATAAATATAATGCAAAGATTTTAAAAAAATAGTTAAGCTTTTCATGAGTTTTGGTGCAATTATAAATGCTACTTTTCTTTAAAATTTCAATTTCCAATTGTTACAGGTAGTACGTATAAACACGATACATTTATGTATATTGACCTTATTATCTGAAGACCTTGCTAAACACACTAGTTCTGGTAACTTTCCTGTAGATTCCATGGGATTTTCTATGCAATCATGTCATCTGCAAAGAGCAATGGTTCCATTTCTTCCCTCTGGCATAAATGCCTTCTCATTTCGTTTCTAGCTTTGACCTTGAGTAAATGCTGAACAGTGATGAGAATAGACACTTTTATCTTATTGAAGGGGACACTGAAGGCTAAGACCCTATTCCCAGCATCTCCACTTATGTTTAGCAGGGTCTTGGTTCTTGGTACAATATGAGCTCTTTCCAGGAGAAGGCCTTTGGATGAAAATCAGAAGCCCATTGAAACCTGGCCACATAATAGGCAGAACAGGTTTTAGCTGAGCTGCTCTGGTCATGCAGAGAAGTTGCCTGCAGCATCTCTGGGCACTCCCAGATGCACTGAGGGTTCTACTCTGCGGAGATGTCCTCAGGCCTGGGCAGGTTCAATAGGCTACACATCACAGATGAGTCATCCTCTATAACTCTGGTCATCTTTACAATGCTTAGACAGAGTAGCACGGCAGCACTAGGAGACTCCTGAGAAACAGAACCAGGAACTCAGATGGCACGGTTTGTGAAAGATCAGAGTTCAATTCCTATAAAAATTAACTGAGTTGATGGTTTGGAGTAATGTGAGTAGGGGCACAGGAAACTTGATAAGCACTCAACTTGGGGCTTCACATGACTCTGTAGGGATGTATCATGCACAAAAAGAAACCTGTCTACCACCCTGACAGATGGGGGAGGCCTGAGTGCCACACTCACTAGTCTCAAGCTCCAGGTCCCCCAGTGTGCTTGAGTGTAAGCACAGCTTGTGCACCTGTGTACAGCAAACTACATGTGTCTGATGGTATCAGGCAAGGGTACCTGCTTATGCCCTGCCTCTGACACCTTCTTTGAAGAATGGCTCTGTCCTGGGTAACTCTCCTGGTAAGAACACTGATAACACTCCATTTGGGAACAGCTCTCACTATAATGGCCTCACACTTTGCCTCTAGCCTCTCTTCCCTGGGGATGGAGACAGTCTCCACACCTACTCAAGCTGCTATTTTGAAAGATCTATGGGCCCAGGAACTTTCATGAGTCCCTGCCACTTCATTCTCACATTGTGGCACTCCCAAAAAAAGAAATTCATGCTTTGTATACTTAATACCTGTATTTGTGAAGAGTTGCCAGAAGCATTGTGTGTGGTAATGAAGCATGCCATGCAGAGTGTCTGATAGGTGTTAGTAAGCCTAGGAAGAAGCAGGACTCCATCTGCTGTTCTTTTGTTGCAAGCAGGAGGAGCTGGGTTATACTGAAACTAGATTCATGTGTAGTGTTCACTTGAAGCACCACCTAGTGGTGAGGAGTTTTATTTTAAAACTGAAGGTGATATTTCATCTTTTTCTTGAAGACTCTATCAGTAAAAATTGATGAATATAAGCAAAGACATATCCTGCCATAATAGAAAGAGGAAGAATCTGAATATATCTAATTCTGTAGTCTAGCTCTCAGTTTTAAAAAGAAAGAAAGATTGGTTTGAAGCTGCCAGTTTCAGTTGATTTGTGAACAACCAGTCACCCCAAAATTCATGTTCATTTGAGAATAATATCTATTACTTGAGAATGGGAATGAGGCAACATGAAGGGTTAGCAGTTATAGGGGACAGGTTGCATGTGAGAGTGCTATGACCAAATAGTGCCATCAGTGCTGCACTATATGTAATGAGCTCTCACAAGTCCCCATCACTGAGGAAGCAAAAGGACATCTAGCTTCTGGCCCTGAAGGGGGAAAGTGACTCAGGATCCACCATCAAGAGTCTCACCTGGGTCCAGACACATGAACTTGCAGCATTCCTTGGGGTCTTTGCGGTACTGCTGACAGCCCTGAGGCCGCTCACAGAGGGCGGCCACACACATCTCAGGCTCCCCTCCATGGCAGGTACAGCTCAAGCATGGGTCATCCCCTTTGGGAGTGAAGTAGAATCCTTCATCAACCACGTTGTCCTTGATGTCGACACAAGTTTGACCTGCAATGGGCACATACGTGCACAGATGTATGCATTATCAGCAAAAGAAATGCTGATTCAATCCACCTGGGGGACAAATTGAGGCGCTAGCCAGATTGTGTATGAGTCCTCCCCATGCAGGAATGCTGTGGATCTGCTTAACAGTGCTAGGAGCAATTGTCTGACAGCAGATGATACAACACACTTTTACAACAAAGCATACCTGGCCAGGGTAAATTGAGCCCACAGAGTGCAGAGGGCTAGAAGAGAGAAGAATGCCAGATTCCAGAGTGAAGGTCCTTACAGAAACATTTGCTTTTTTTTCCTTCTTGTACTAGGGATTGAACCCAGAAGTGCTTGCTACTGAGCCACATCTCCAGTCCTTTTTCATTTTTTTATTTTGAGACAGGGTCTCATTAAGTTGCTTAGGGCCTTGCAAAGTTGTTGAGGCTGGCTTTGAACTTTCGATCCTCCTGCCTCAGCCTCCAGAACTACAGGGAGGGATTAGAGGCCTATGCCGCCACGCCTGGTTAGCATTTGTTTTTAAGTTGACTCAAACAGTTTAGATTCTTCAATTCTAAGACATAGTTGCTATGGACATTAACCATTTTAAAACCAGAATGTTTCAAATAAGTTTCTAAGAAGCTGCTGGTTCTGCTTGCGAAGATGATCTCCTGAAACACATGTAGTAAACTCTGCATAGAGCTGAACTGATAGTAGAGTAAGGGAAACAGTTACAATCAGATCCTTAAGCTGGTAAGCAGACCCAACAGATACCTGGGAATGAGATAAGGGATAAACTGGGTTTGGTCCTCAACAGGGCACACCTGGTAAAAGGCAAAGGGATGTGAGAAAGAAGTTTGTTCCAATCTCCAAATGGAATGGGGAGGTCTAGAAAACAACTTTTCAGAAATTTCATGACCATGGGCCTCAGTTAAGATTGGGGTCAAATCTATGTCAGCCATTTAGTCAGGAATTCCCAGGGGAAGAAATTCACATAAATGAATCTCTGCTAAAACAGAGAAAAGAATGAAGAAAAATGAACAATTTTTAGAAGAGTATGGGATACCATTAAGTACACCAATATGTGTGAAATGGGAATACCAAAAGAAGAGGAGAAAAAGGAACAGAGAAAAAACAAAATCCTACACAACCAGGAAATGCAATAAACTTTAAGTAGGATAAATGCAACAGAGCCACACATGGACCCATTACAGTAAAAATGTCAAAGTTTAAGACAAGGTGAAAATCTTAAAAGAAGCCAATAAAAAATGATTTGTTATTTATAAGGGAACCCAAACAAAATCAACCACTTAGCAGAAACAACTGAGGTCAGAAGCAGCAGAATAACATATTCAAAGTATTCAAAGACTAAACCTATCAGTGAAGAAACCATAGATGGCAAGGCTATTTTTCAAACAGTGAAGGCAAAGTAAAGACTTCCCCAGATTAAAACAGTTTATTTCTTCCAGACCTGCCCAAAGATGCTGGTTACAGTGGCACATGCCTGTAATCTCAGGTACACAGGAATGCTAAGGCAGTAGAATCCTAAGTTAGTGAGACCATCTCAAAAAATAAAATAAAAAAGAACAGGGATATAGCTCAGGGGTAAAGTGGCTCTGGGTGCAATCCCTAGCACTTAAAGAAAAGAAAAAAGAAATAGCAAAGAAGTTCTAAAGTTCTTCAAGCTAAAAAAAAAAAGCTAGTGATTGCCAGAGAGTAATCTAAATCTACAAAACAACAGATCACCAATAGAAGTAATTACATAATTACAAATTACAGTATAAAATGTATGTTTCGGGGCTAGGGTTGTGGCTCAGTGGTAGTGTGTGCGCCTCAAATCTGTGAGGCACTGGGCTCGATCCTCAGCACCACATAAAAATAAACAAAGGTATTGTATCCATCTACAACTAAAAAAAAAAAAAAATTATTTTTAAATGTACATGTTTCTTTTTCCTTTAACTAATTTAAAAAGTAATTGTGGGGGCTGGGGATATAACTTAGTGGTAGAGCACTTTAGTCTAACATGCAAAGGCCTTGGGGGTTCAATCCTCAGCACTGCTTTACAGAAATAAATAAAAATCATATGAAATAATACTATATAATGTAGTATTGGGTCTATAATATACAGAAATGAAATATGTGCATGATGTTTGTCAATAACCACACAAAGGTGGTGTACTGAGAGCAAAGCTATATTGAGTTAAGGAAACTTGACCCAAATCTTATGAACTCAAAATGGATCAGAGATATGTGGAAAACATAAAACTATAAAAACTCTTTTAGAAAAAAACAGGAGAAACTCTTCAGAATATAAGGCTAGGCAGAGAGTTACTAGACTTTATACTAAAAAAATAAACCATAAAAGGAAAATTGATAAAGTGAATTCTATCAAGATTGAAAACTTTTATTCCAGCACTTGCCTAGTATACTTAAACCCTAGGTTCTTGGTTTCATGAAAGCCTATATGAAGAAGACAAACAGTAAACAAAAAATATTTGCAAACCAAATTTCTGACAAAAGACTGGTATCTAGAATAAACAAAACTCTCCAGTTTATCCTGGTGTTGTGGCGCATGCCTATAATCCCTGCAGCTTTGCAAGTTCAAAGCCAGCCTCAGCAACTTAGTGAGGTTCTTCATAACTGAGTGAGACCGTCTCTAAATAAAACACAAAATATTCTGGAGATGTGGCTCAGTGGTTAAGTGCCCCTGGATTCACTCCCCAGTATCACCTCACCCCACCCCACCCCCCAAAAAACCCTCAACAGTTAAGAAAAAAAATGCAGATGGCAAGTAAGCACATGAAAAGGTTTTGGAAAGAAATGCAAACTAAACCCACAAGAAATAGTATAACATATCTATCAGAATAGGCAAAATAAAAAATATAGTAAAAATAATAATTCCTGGTGAGAATGTGGAAAAACTGGTGGAATATATATACATATACATTTTTGGTTTAGTTACTTTGGAAAAAGGGCTTGTTTCTTTCTTTTTTAATTAAACTGAATTTCTTTTTTTAAAAAATATTTATTTTTTTTGTAGTTGTACACAATAACTTTTATTCATTCATTCATTCATTCATTCATTCATTCATTCATTTTTATGTGGTGCTGAGGATCAAACCCAGGGCCTCACATGTGCTAGACGAGCACTTTACCGCTGAGCCACAACCCCAGCCCCCTGAATTTCGTTTTTTTATATATGTTTATTTTTTAGTTGGATACAATACCTTTATTTTATTTATTTATTTATTTATTTTTATGTGGTGCTGAGGATTGAACCCAGGGCCTGGCGTGTGCTAGGCAAGCACTCTACCAATGAGCCACAACTCCAGCCCCATGAGTGCTAGTTTCTTAAAAAACTAAACAGGAGCTGGGTCTGGTGGCATGTGCCTGTAATCCCAGTGACTCAGGAGGCTGAGGAAGGAAGATCACAAGTTCACGGTCAACCTCAAATAAAAAGGACTGGAGATGTGGCTCAGTAGTTAAGTGTCCGAAAGTTCAATTCCCAGTGCCAAAAAAACAAAACAAACAAACAAAAAAAAAAACTAAGCATTCAACCCAGCAACTGTCATCCTGGGCAATTATCCCTGGACATTACCTATATGCATATGTTCAGAGAAGCTTTTGTCCCAATAATCAAAAACTGGGGATCAACCAGACATGGAGGTGCATGCCTGTAATCCCAGTGGTTTGGGAGGCTCAGATAGGAGGATTGTGAGTTTAAAGCTATCCTCAGCAACTTAGGGAGTCCCTGACTCCAAATAAAATACAAAATGCCTGGAGGTGTGACTCTGTGGTTATGTGCCCCTGGGGTTCAATCCCTAGTACCAAAAAAACAAAACCCAAACAAAAAACTGGGATCGGCTCAGATGTCCTTCAAGAGGCAAATAAATACTCCTCAGCAATAAATATAAACCATGGACTAAGTAATAATTTGAATAACTCTCCCAGAAATTATGAGTAGTAGTGGCAGTGAGGAAGCCAACCCCAAAAGGTTAGATATTGAACATTTCAGTCTCATAATGTAATACCTGACAATGGCCAGGCCATACATGACCAAATAATTCTGACCTACCATCTTTGAGGTAACTAGCCTGGGGCACTCAGGATCTGGTTGTTGACCACAACTTCCCTGTTCTGTACTTCCAACTCAGGATATCCCAGAAGAAAAAGTCAAATTGCTCCTCAAACAAACCACCTAAACTGTCCAACCTTTTGTCAGTCTACCTCCAATCAGAGCAAACATGGAGTCTTTAGAGCACTGGTGAAAGCTCCAGTGCTGGATCCAACTCCAGCTGGAGGAGCAGGAGAAGAACTGATGAAAGGCATACCCTGGAGACCCAGGGTACTGGGTCTGCTGAAGGCTGAAACATAATCAGAACATCAACCCCTTTGTCCCCCCAATCTCTGCTACCAGGTACATATGAAGCCTGGAATCAGCATTTGTAGGTAAATGGATAGAGCTGGAGAATATAATGCTAAAGTAAAATAAGCCAAACTCAAAACCGAATGGCCGAATGTTTTCCCTGATAAGTGGAGGCTAGTCCATAATGGTGTGTGTGTATGTGTGGGTGTGTGTGAAGAAACTTTGTGCAGAAGGGAGTCAGGGGAGGGGAGGGGAGGGAGTGTGGGAATGGGAAGAACAGTGGAATGAGAGACATTATTACCCTATATACATGTATGATTACACTACTGGTGTAACCATGTTCAACCAGAGGAAGGAGGAGTTGTGCTCCATTTGTGAACAATGTGCCAAAATGCATTCTACTGTTATGTATAACTAATTAGAACAAGATTAAAAAAAAAAAAAAAAAAAAAGCAGCAGCAGCCTGGAATCAGTCTCAATGGTCTGCTGGGAGAGCTCCAATAAGTAGCTTCTCTGAGGGTCCCCCCAAAGGGAAGACCTAAAGTAGAAGATGAAGCAGACACAAGAGGCATCCCTACCAAATACGAAGGCTGGGGTGCACTGAGGATAAACACAGGTCCAACAAACTCGAGTCCAGCCCAGTCCCCCACCTCAAGATTAATACTTTCTAATACTTTCTCACTGTACTGAAGACCTCCCCACACTAAAGGCCTAGTGGAAGAAAAGGTTAGCACCAAAACTACTAATCTCAGTGTCTACTCTCCTGCACAATGTCTGGCTTTCAATGACAATTTCTAGAAAAAAGTACCAGGTTTCAAAGACCAAACAACAAAACTAGACTAAGTTATCACACAGATAAAGAAACCATCCTTGGGGAATTTAAAACAACTATGATTAATATAAAAGAATCAAGCTGAATGCCATGACACATGCCTTTTAATCCCAAACACTCTGGAGACTGAATCAGGAGGATCACAAGTTCAATGCCAGCCTGGGCAATTTAGCAAGAACCTGTCTCAAAATAAAATTATGGTTGTAAGATATAGTTCAGTGATAAAACACCCCTGGGTTCAATCCCCAGTACTGGAAAAAAGAAAAAAGGAGAAAATCTAGGACGATCCATCTGCTGGAAGACTTTATAAACCAGGTATAGTGGTGCATGCCCATAATCCCAGCAAATTAGGAGGCTTAGGCAGGAGGATCACAAATTTGAGGTCAAATTTGGGCAACTTAATGAGACCTTGAGACCTTGCATCAAAATAAAATGAGGAGAGGGCTAGAGATGTAGACCAGTGGTAGAGCATCCCTGGGTTCAATGCCCAGTACTCCCCCCCAAAAAAAAAACAAAACAACAAAAACCTCACTCTTAAAATCCATATAGAATAGAAAAGGCAACATAATACCAAAAATAAGGAAGTTGTAATGTCAGCTATCAAGACTTATCACAGTTACTATAAGGATGACAGTATGGCAATGACAAAGGATTGATAAAGAGTCAAGGGTAAGAATGGAGTCCAGAAACAGGATCAGGCATAAGTAAAACTCTGGTTTATGATTTATCAGCAGGAAGGTAGGGATGGGCCACATGAGCAGAGATGAGATCATTAGCTGAACTGGACTCCAATGTTAGCGGCTGTCAGTGGCTGTGTCAAGGCTGATTACAACCTCTCAACCCAATTGCAGAGGACTGGGTGGAAGCAGGGAATCTTGCTCTAGACCACAGGTGTGAAAGGGACCTTGATGTGGAATTTCAGCAAGTGTGCTGGCAGGGTGCCAGGGAAAAATCTGTGACACCACTGACTGGTGAGGAGGGGTTGTCCAGATAAGCAAAGAGAGAAGCAAAAAGAAGGAGCCACAAAGAGCTAAGGGAGGAGACAGGGACTGAATGCTGCAGAAGTGCCAGGGGATTGGCAAATGCTTGGGTCACCATTCCCAAGGACTTAATCTCTTAACAACACTGAAGCAGTAAGGCAGGAAATATGGTATCTATCTAAGATTAGAGAACTAGGAGCTCAGAGATGCCCACAGCTGCCCAGGCCACAGAAAGGCGGCTCAGGGGCTTCCATCTCCAAGCACTGCAAGGTTAGAGCCCATTAGAAGCTGACCAGGGCCTTGATGGCTTCCTGAGAAGGTAGGTTCCAAAGGACTTACTTCTTTTACACAGAAATGAAGACTTCTCATAGCAGCTCTCAGCATGCCAGCTGTGGAGGTCATGGTGCCGAAGTGTGGGAAAGTGGAAGCATTGGAGCTGGGCGCAGAACACATTGTCATTCTCAGACATGGCTGAGGCGAAAATGGGGTCGGGGGGCAGGAACACCTCTGAGGAGCCTGTGTGGGGAGATAAAAGGTGAGGCTGGGCATGAGAACATAAGGTCAGCAGATGAGCATGCAGTTTTCTCAAAGGATCCATGGGGTCAAACAGGACCATCAACCAAAGAAACTGAGGACCACCAAATGCTAGTGCTACATCCTTGTGGCTAAAGTGTACATGTGTGATTTCCCCTGCCTCTTGGAAATCAGTTCCAGACAATGGGCCTGGCAGGGCCTCAACAAACAAAAGAACAAGCAAACTCTGGTAGTGATAAGTACTATACAGAGAAAAGGTGCTGGATAGAGATATTTCAGGGGTGTTAGAACCAGCATGCATGATGAAACAATGGATTTTAACACACTGGATCAAAACGCAGGGATTCATACTGACAAAATGAACAAATATATAAATGTGAATACGGGTAGGGAAATAAAACAGGTAGGTGGAAGTTCTCCCCTACAACAAAATTCCCAGTAATAAATGGAGCACTTCAGAAGCATCTGTACTGTGCCTATGAGGCATGTGCAGTTCAGGCAAATGTCAGCTCTGACACCCACCAGCACAAACACCTTCCCCATCAGCTGGCTGAGGTAAACACTTGGAAAGTACTGGTCCCTTGGGTCCCTCTCCAAGCTCAGAAGGAACTTGCAATGCACTCAGCTCCTACTTTCCAAGCTAGAGAAAAGGCAATCAGAAACCACACTATCCTCACTATCCAAGGGATGGGATTCAGGTACATTGGGGGAGGGGCTGTTAATCTCCAACCTCTCTCACTATCTACCTTGTGCAGCACCCCAGGGCTGGGCTACCAAGATTCCTTTTGCCTGACATGGATCACTGGAAATACAAAAGCGACCATGATGGAACACCCAAATTTCTTGTTCACTAAGATGGCAATGCAGTTTACCCCTTTCTCAGAATAGATATTTCCACTCAAACCTTCCTGAACTGTTTCCTCCCTGCACTAAACATGGTGCTTGGTTTGCAAGGAGCTGATGTGTCTAGAGGCAGCTTTGAGCTGCAGTACACGGACCCATGGCTCCCTGGCAAGGGCAGGGAGACTGGCTTTCTGGAAGCATTAAGACCCACAAGACTTGTTCCTGGCTGGGTAGCACAGCCACCACTAAAGTTGCTTCCCACTTCAGGGACATCCAGGCTCCAGTCCTGCCAGCCTCATCTGTGTGTGACAGATGCAAAAGAGGAGAAGGGACTAGAATGTTGGAGATGTTTTCCCACACAACCTGGAGGAATCATCCCCACTGCTGAGAATAGAAGCCATCACCAGTATGCTATGCACTGACACTTGCCTTTCCTCCAGGCTCCCTGTTTCCCGACGGGATGCTTTCACCTGGGTAGTGCTTCCCTTTAAAATACTGCTTTCTTCACTATTTGGTTTCTTGTTCCATAGTCTAAAAAATAAACAGGGTCCTCCCTACCCTTAAAAAGCAAGTCTTCTGACTAGTAGCACATACTTATAATCCCACAGCTTGGGAGGCTGAGGAAGGAGGTTCACAAGTTCAAGGCCAGCCTCAGGAACTTAGCGAGACCCTGTCTCAAAATAAATTAAATAAAAATAATAAAAAAGTCTGAGGATGTGTCTCAGAGGTTAAGTGCCTACAGGTTCAATCCCCAGTACCAAAAAAAAAAAAAAAAAAAGGCAAGTCTTTATAACTGAGGCTGGGTGCCAGTCCAGAACTCCTGAACACAACTATGATACACACAATGGCAACACTCAAACCAAGGTCATAAGTAACTCCTCAGGGCAGAGTCAAGCTGGAAGGTGACTTGGAAGGGTTCCTGGAAGTCTCTGGGCCTAGGTCCCACCAAGCCACCAGTAGATGAAAGACACAGTGACACTTCCATGTCAAGGGCAGCATCATGCAGATATAGCATCTCTGCCCATGGAAGCTGCTAAAGACTGCAATCAAAGGTGCTGTCTATGGACTGATCATGTGGGTACCCCCTGCCCACCCCAAATGCAGAATGTCAAAGGAAAGAGGTACTTGCTCTCAATCACATGATTTGTGCAATTGAGGCTGGGATGGTAGGCACTGCCAATTTGCTGCCAGTGCCCACCAAAGCTCTATCTACTGACCCCACCATACAGGTCCTACTAACTATAGTCATGTTCTTGCCTGGGTACAGCACCAAGACAGAGATGCAGACAAGTCAGATCTGAAAAGATGTCTGGGAGACAAGGCTCCTTCTAGGTTATATGCACATCCAGATGTCAGCCTGTGATACAAGTGAGCTCCAGCAGTATGGGTGTGTGCTCAGACATATGGTGGGGGGAGGGGGAGATGTGAAGGCAAAGGTACTGAGCGAATGAGTGAATATTTACTTATTTGCTTTTTTGTGGTACTGGAGCTTGAACACAGGGGTGCCGCCTTTTGTATTTTACTGAGCCAGAGTCTCCATTAGTTGCCCATGTGTGCTGGGATTACAGGTGTGCGAGACCACGTCTGGTTTGAACAAACACTTATGTTTTTTGTTTTTAAATTATAATTCCCATTTTATTTTTTCACCATAGGCCCTCAGGAGTCTGAGAGGAATAAGGTTCAAACCTAAACAGCTTTTTTCCACTCCTAAAGGACCCAGCTCCTTAAATAGGTTTTGGTGGAGGTCATGGGGTAGCATTAACAGTTCTAAATTGGGGTGGGGGTGTTTGGTCCTTCTGGGCTTCACAAGAAATTCCTGACCACCTTGCTATGAATAGCACAACTCACATAGTACTGTGGTTTCATATAGAGCTTGGGAAGCATGTAAGTGTCGGAAACACTTGCTTTGGAAACATCCCTGACAGCTGTGGCCTCTACAATGTTTTAAATGATGAATTACTTAATGGCCTTGTCTTTGGGCAGGAACCAGGTGCAGTTCATGCAATGAATAGGCTGCATGTGGCTATGACCCTTTTTGCCACAAGTCCTCCTTTTTTGGTCATCTTAGAAGTGAGGCCCTGAGAGACTGAACAAATCTTAAATGAACCAACTTCCATATTATGTGGGCACATTATAAAATGTATTTCCACTTCTGTGCTTTAAAATAATATCAAGCCAGCTTGACTGCCATACCTATAATCCCAGTGACTCAGGAGGCTAAGGCAGAAGGATCACAAGATCAAAGTCAGCTTTATCAGCTTAGCAAGGCCTTATGCAACTTAGTGAGACCCTGACTCAAAAATAAAAAGGGTTGGGGATATAGCTCAGTGGTAAAGCACTCCTGTGTTCAATCCCCAGTACCTAAGTAAATAAATACATACAATAAAATAAAATAAAAATTAAGCAAGAATAACCAATAACCAGAAACTGAAGTGACACTGTTAACCATAATGATGGGAAACCCTGTGAATGATGAGGGAATATGTAGATGGTTCTCTTTAGACAACAAAGATCTGCATTTTTTTCATACTTTCTGCATACTCTTCCATTATAAAAATGATGGGCCTGTGTCTGCAGGTGGCAGCAGCTCTCAGTCTCCAGCGTATTCTCCAATGCCTGGCGCTGCCATACCTATAGGGTCTAGGAACTTTTCCAAGGTCCTTGGGCTATGCAAGCACATGAGCTTATGAAGACATGATACAGAGCAGCTCTGCCACCTTCCTAGGGAATGGTAAGGTAGTGTATCCTCCAAGGCCCTCAGGAGTCCAAGAGGAATAAACTTCAAACCTAAAGTGTGTGGGGGGCAGGTGTGAACACAGATGTTTCATAAATATATACATGTGTAATATGCACATAGCATTGTGCCAATATAGAATACATGTTATAAAACACACCGGTGGTTTGGGCTGGGGATGTGGCTCAAGTGATAATGCGCTCACCTAGCATGCATAAGCACTGGGTTCGATTCTCAGCACCACGTAAAAATAAAATAAAGATATTGTGTCCACCTAAAACTAAAAAATAAATATTAAAAAAAATAATAAAAAAATAAAACATACAGGTGGATACAGTGGTGCACACCTGCAATTCCAGCCAATTGGGAGGCTGAGGCAGGAGAATTGCAAGTTCAAGTTCAACAACTAAGCAAGACCCTGTTTCAAAATAAAAAAGGCTGGGGATGAAGCTCAATGGTAGAGTGCTTCTGGGTTCAATCCCTAATACCACAAACCAAAATCGCTCTCCCTGCCACAAAAAAAAAAAAAAAAAAAAAAAAACTACACACAAAAGAAGTGTGTACAGGGGCTGGGGCTCAGTGGTAAAGCGCTCGCCTAGCACATGTGAGGCCCTGGGTCGATCCTCAGCACCACATAAGAATGAAATAAAGATAATTCATCCAACTAAAAAATAATAAATGTTTAAAAAAAAGAAGTTTGTACAAGATGTAGAAAAAAAATAAACATTTTAAAACATCTTCCTTCTTCTTTCCTTCCTACTATCCTAGCTAAGAGTCTTAGGCACAGAATGTTCTTAGGGAACTATTCATTATTAATGACAAAGATTTAAATACACTTCTCATTTTTTTTAAACCTTTTATTTTATTTATTTATTTTTATGTGGTGTTGAGGATGGAACCCAGTGCCTCACACATGCTTTTGAATCCTTTTCTTTGGGTCAATTTCTCAGACAAAACAGATCCCTCTGTTTTACAACATAGCACAACTGCCAAAGAACAGTTGAAAAAAGAGCTACTCTGAGAGCAGGATAGGGCAGTTCTGGCCATGTTCTTATTTGTACTTTCAATCTTTTTACTGGCCAGTTTCTTATCAGAAATCTTAAGTGCTTGTCATTTGCAAATTAAAAAAAAAAAAAAATACTCTGAGTTGAAGGACTGCAAGTTCCTGAGTAACTTCAATGCTGAGCAGCATCCTGCTGTTTATTCCCCCCACCTCTACAGACATACTGGCAGCTGGCTCCCGCATATAGGTGCACATCTAAAATCAAACATCTACAATACTATTGCATACCTAAGAAAATGAACATCTAAGTCAATATCCACTATTAAGTCCACAAATTTCTCTAATTGTCACCTGAAAGTTTTTATAAGGCCCTTCCTAATCCAGAATGCCATTAAGAGTTGCTTTTATGTTGGTTTTATGTTTTATGTTTAATTCCTTTGATTCATGAGGAACTCAAAATGGTGAACTGTTTCAAGCACCCAGGTCAGTGATCTTGGAATATAAAAATCCTCTTTTAATTATATGTTTGGTGACCACTACTTAATCTACTAATGGAGTCCCCAAATCCATAATCAATAGCATGGTATGTCCATGCAGAGCTGCAGGATGCTCATATGCCCTGCACAAGTGCCCCCTCTTGCTATGGGGTCAATTCTCAATCAGTTGCACAAACAAGGGGTGGTATGCCAAACATAGTTGCCAGTGTAGACACATACATTAAATATTTTTCTATATTTTAGTTTCACTCTCCTCAGGCCCCAACAGATCCATGAGATAAGCATGGTCATTACAGTCTACCCGGGGCCCTTACCAGAATGACAGGGATGAAGGTACCAGTCCCCCAACTCAGGTATGCTGCCATGCCAGACAGACAGATGTCTTCTCCCTTTAATTATTATTATTCAGAAGACAACCATGCTCATGAGTGTTGACACTGTCCTGAAGGCTGGTCTGGACTTCAGAGTTTCAAAAATGCACCTTCAACAGCTGTGACAACAGCAGGTAAAAAGCTACTAGCAGAATGATCCTCTACAAAGCACAGTGTTACTTTGGAGCCTAGAAACCCAAAAGCCATCTATTTGCCAACTATTCCTGTGGGAAACCTAAGCAACACATATGTTGCAAGGGGTATGTGTTTTCAGAAAGGAGATCAGGGGACATAAGAATGGAACAATACACTCAGTAGGAGCAGGGGCTAGTGGATTTTGCTCTTTCTGCTGGGCCCTGCAGACTCCACCTTTGCTCCCTGCCCAGCCCCAGGTGCCTTGTGTGGTCTCTGTCTATATGAAGTCCTCCTTCTCTCCAGGGAAACCAGCTGTTTGGTGCTCTGACCCTTCTCAACCCTATCTCAGGGCCCACAATTCTTCATTTGTCCTTCTCAATGAACACATCAACAGCAAGACTGGGATGTGTCTGAGGAAATGGAACCTATATCTGAGCTTAAGCCAGAGACCCAAGGAATAGCCCAACAGGTGAGGGCTGATGATGGACAACAGGGTGGAAGAGTGTGGCTCAGGTACAAGCAGATAGGACACAACAAGGGTGCTGGGGAAGGACTGTCACTACTAGGCAATAGTAGAGGAGGGGAGGAATGAGCTAGGGGTAGGTGTTCAACTATACTATACATAGCCACCGTTTCCTTTCTGTTACTTAGTATTTTCAAGTCAAAAGGTATAAAACTTTTGAAATAACAACACACACAATCTATCTGATGGTTTCCTTCAAGTTTTAGCTTCTAATTCTGAACTTCTCTTAGAAAGTTTGATTTCCCTCTATGGATTATATGTGCCAGCAGCATACTTTGTATACTCATTTATATGCTCCAAAGTACTTAACTTTATTTTCTATTTCCATATTTTGTGAACACAGGGCTTTGTGCAAGCTGGGAAAGCACTCTACCACTGAGTTATATCTGTAGCCCTCTTTTTTATTAATTTTAGCTGATACATAAAACGATACATACTAATGGAGTACCATGTATTGTTGCAATACATATTAATGAAGTTAAACATCTAGCTCCTCAAACATTTATCATTTCTTTGTGGTAAAAACACTGGAAATCCTTTCTTCTAGCTTTTTCAAAAGGTATGGTCCACTATTGTTAACCTTACTGTGCAACTGCACATCAGAACTTCTTACTCCTATTTAACTGTAACTTGATACCCACTGATCAACCTTCTACCTACTCTCCCCAAAGTCCTTAACTTCAAAGAGAAGACAGGAAATCTATAAATCTGGCCACAGTGAGAAACAACAATGGGTTTCAGAGAAGGCTCCAACCCCACATGGGTCCTGATCAGTTGGGTTGCATGCACATTGGCCTCAAAATACCCTCCCTACAATCTGGGGGCCCCTTATCTCCATGTATTCTATACCAGGCACCAGGGTAGACCAGGCACCACTGGAGGAAACTGTGGAGGGAAGACAGGGAATCAGGACGATTCCCACCACTTTCAAACTCAAAAACCAGAAAGACTTACCTTTGAATGCTACCTCCCAGCGACCTTCTAAGGAGTGGTTCCGGCCAGTAATGACATACTGATAGCCAACCCACAGCCTGCAGGGGATGGAAACAGACCTGAGCACAAGGAGGAAAGCAGCCTTTGATGACCATATTTGTATTTTATATATTTATGTATTTGTACAGTGTTGGGGATCATATCCAGGACCACCTGATGCATGCTAGGCAAGTGCTCTCTTCCTGAACTATACCTCCAGAACTATGTGTTTGTGTGTGTGAGCGCGTGCACATTCATTCATTCATTCATTTAGGTATCAGGGATTGAACCCCAGGGTGCTTAACCACTGAGCCACATCCCGAGACCTTTAAAAAAAATTTTTTTTTTGGAATAGGGTCTCACTATGTTGTTTAGGCCTCACTAAGTTGATGAGGCTCACTTTGAACTTGTGATCGGAATTCCTTTGCTGCTAAGATTTCAGGAGAAATATATATATATATATATATATATATATATATATATATATATATGTGTGTGTGTGTTTCAATAGTTATGCTGACCTCTAAAAACTGAAATTCTAAAATATGAGTGATTCAAGTTTTAACTTTTAGTTTTAATAAAATATGTTAAAATTCTAAACAACAAATTCATATATCAGGAAAAAAAATTAACTTTAGGTAATTCCTGCCAACCCTGCTTATTTTTGGTGGTTCTGTTTTGTTTTTTAGGTACTAGGGATTAAACCCCAAATGTAGTAAATGCTAGCAAGTGGTTTACCAATTGAGCTATATCTGTAGCGCCCCCCCACCTTTTAAGAATTTTTATTTTTAGTTGTAGATGGACACAATACCTTTATTTATTTTTTAATTTTTTTTTTTTTTTTAGTTGTAGATAGACTCAATAGCTTTATTTTATTTTTTTAATGTGGTGCCAGGGATCAAACCCAATGCCTCATGCACGCTAGGCAAGTGCTTTACCATGGAGCCACAACCCCAGCCCTATTTACTTATTTTTTATGTGGTGCTGAGGATTGAACCCAGTGCCTCACACATGCTAGGTGAGCACTCTACCACTGAGCCCCAGCCCTAGCCCCAGTCCTTTTTTTTGAGACAGGGTCTCCATTGGTTGTCCAGGGTGGCCTGGAACTTGTAATCCTTCTACCTCAGCCTCCTGAGCAGCTGAGATTATAGGCATGTGCCACCACACCCAGACTAAGCTTGTTCTTAGTAGTTGATCCCATAAAGCTTTCACGTTTTAAATGAGAACTTACTCTTGGTAGACATAAAATGCAGGAATACAATTGTATGACTATGTTAAAACTACAGAACAGTAACATTCTATGACAGATTTTATTCTTCAGTAAAGAAACAAACCTTACCTGTGAATAAACAAAACACTACCAGCTGAGTTAAAAAGACACTTACATGGCTTTTGCTCATAGCCAGCCCACACCAGGCCTGCAACGTGTTCCCAAGCACACAACCGAGCACTGCACACAGCTTAGCACCTCTTTTTTATCCCCTGCCCTAGTGCTGGTGAAACCCATCAGCAGGTCAACCTGCTACAGTGTCATGGTGCTACTCTGCCTTTAGCCTGTGCTGTGCATATACTGGCAGCCATGGGAGTCAGGCCTTCCCCACCCACTGGCTGATGCCTTCTTGCTTTTCCACTAGACTCCCAGGCATTTCCTCATGGGGTTTGATAAAATAACCTACTATTTTTCTCACTTTGCAGCTGCAATAGGAGAAACAGATTGATCTTACAATTTGCAAATATCACATAGGACCTAACTAACTAACCCAAGCTCTAGACTTGAAATTAAGGTCCTCTATCCACCTGCATTGGGTCATCATCCTCTCATGGCGGTGTTGTAGTTGTCCACTTTAGGAAGGCAGCAGGTGACTAAATATCTTTTGAACTCCAAAGAACTGTGCTCCCCTCCAGAAGAGGACAGCCACTGGATGCCATTATCTATGCTTCACCCTTAGCAGTGTGAATGGAACAGCTTGATACATCTTCCAGAGGTGGCACACTGCAGGACTCAGTGTACTCCTATTTCCTAAACAAATCCCCTACCCGCAAATGCTGGGTCTGGCAGATGTGTAGTAAGTATTCATTTGCACATTTTCCCTTTGATGCACAGAGCATGGAGGCCAGGAGCCAGGTTTTGAGCAATCTGCCTGGGCTCAAATCCTGACACATATGCCCAGGGAGTCTACTTTCACACTCATGCATGTATGAGCAGGCCCACTGAAAGCACTGAGCAGAGATAACAGGGTTTACTGTCTCAAAGAGAACCCCTGCCCACCTGTGCCCCCTTACACCAGAGGCCACAAAGCCCACACCAAATAGTCCCTCAGGATAGAGAACAGCAATCCATGGCTGCACTCAACAAATGCTGTTATACCAACAGAGGGGAACCAATGAAAAGGCTGGCCCACAGTCCTACAATTTGGAACTTGTAATCTTTCTACCTCAGCCTCCTGAGATCCCAGCCCTCCACTATCTCCTCCATGAGCCTCCAATCCCATCTTGATGCATATATGCCAAGCTCCTAAATGTCTACCTGCTTCCAGCTGGTAGGGAGCTGCCTTCCTCTTATGTTACCTGCTGGCCATGTGCTCAGCCCTCATAGGACTCCTATTCCCAGGACTTACTTGCGCTGGTCCTTCCAACCAAAGCTCCGCTCGGGCTGGTCCCATTCCTGGGCCAGGATGAAGCGCAGTTCCTGGTCAGTGGAGAAGGTGGCAAGTGAGCCATTCACACGCTGGCAAGTCTGTGCAGCATCCCAGTAGTTCTCCCCACTCAGGTAAACACGGTAGCAGCTGGCCGTGCCTTCATAGTGGTGCCACCCTGTTGGGCACTTCCCTAGGAAACATGAAGGACAGAAGGGGAGTTGTCCCCCAAATTAGGATCCTGACTCCAAAAACAAAATTATATGTGCTGCATTAAGGACAGGCAAACCTCAGAAATCACCTTGGAAAAAAGGGGAAACAGACTCTAGAGGATAAGATCATACATTCTGTAAAAATGCTCATATTTTTTAAAAAAATGCTCATATTTTCCTAAAGTGGACAACTACAACACCACCATGAGAGGATGATGACCCAATGCAGGTGGATAGAGGACCTTAATTTCAAGTCTAGAGCTTGGGTTAGTTAGTTAGGTCCTATGTGATATTTGCAAATTGTAAGATCAATCTGTTTCTCCTATTGCAGCTGCAAAGTGAGAAAAATAGTAGGTTATTTTATCAAACCCCATGAGGGTTTAAAAAAAATATGAGCAATGCTAGTATATTCAGTGATCTCTCCCGTTTCCACAAGATCTTTTAATTTACTTAGTAGTAAATAGGTCTGCTGAATTAGTTTCTGTAAAGCAGATTTCACTAAGTCTGATTAACAAGAAAATAACTCCCCCATATAGTCTGTGAGATCCTGCTGAGAGCAAGCAGAGAGACTCCCTCCATGCCCAGCCCTTGCTTCCCTGATGGCCAGCTGTCCTAGCTTCTGCTGCCAGCAAGCAGCTTCCTGAGCTGAGTCCCCAGTCTTCCCTTTCTGTTAACATGGGCATTTTCAGTAGGATGCTAGGAAGCACTCCACTAAAACAGCAGCTCAGATCAGAATTTAGGGGCCAAGAGATTGTAGGACCAACCCGTCACCCACAGATGAGAAAAGGAGGTTGGGGTTATGTTACAGCTTATGAAGCCAAACAGCCAGCCAGAGCCCTATTTCCCTGAGACTGGCTAGCATTCTACTTCATCAGCCTGTCAACCTACCCCTTGGGTATGGAAAGGTTTAGTACTTTACAGCTTCCCAGAGATAGTAATAATGGCTTGCTTTATAATTTTGGCATGTCTCCTATTAGTACACTGAAGAGTAATAACTTTTAGCAAAGCCAAAAAAAAAGCAATTTTAAAATATGTTTACATCCTGTGGCACTAGTGAAACTTTTTAGGCACCTTATTATTTATATTTAGGGTTGGTATATTATTAACAATGTGCCATTATGGCACAGAGAAAAGAGATCAGAGAAATAATATGATGGTTCTGGTCCCTGAGGCATGTCCATAGCACTATTTGCAAGGACAACAAGCTGGATAGCACCACCTGATCATCACTTGGGGACAAAGAGCTAGGCCTTGCAGTGTGTATAGCACATGAACATCAAGGGCAACAATAAGATGGCACTTACTGAGTTTTCTATGTGTCCATGCCAATGTTTTTAGACTGACTGCACTCCTGGGGGTGGTTCTGCTCATCTCCATGTTAGAGGTGAGGACCCCAAGGCATGGAAAGGATAAGTAGCTTAAGAGCTAGCAGCAGGGCCGGGCTTCTCATCTGGGAAGAGGTCCAGAGGGAAACCAGTTGGCTTTTTTTTTGTTTGTTTGTTTGTTTGTTTTTTTAATGTGTTGAACTTTGTGGAATTATTGCCTAGGGAGAAGTATTACTACTCAAAAGAACAGATAATAGAGCACAGAGCTGAGCATCAGGACCCATAGGGATACATCTGGAGCTGCCCCTTCCATCTATGTAATCCTAGACAGGCTGTCCTCTCAGAGCCTGTTTCCTCATTCACCCAGTATTGTGCAATACCTTTCAACTGAAAGGGTTTGCAGTTAATGTGTGGTAAAACCAGGCACAGTGCCAGGGCTCAGAGGAGGGCTGGCCCACACCACCTAGTGCTTGTTCAATTCTGATCAGACAAAGAACTGCGGCTCCAAGACGGTAGGGGATTCAAGGAGTACTGGGGGCCCTGCAGTGTGGGTGGCTTCCCAGGACTGCCTCATCACTGACAGTGTGGGGCTTGGCAGAGCCACTGCAGCTCAGTGGTCTAGCCCAGGACTCTAAGCAGTCAGCACAAGCTGCAGCACAAGGGGCTATGATGTGCCTTCTCAGGTGCTCCCAAGCACTGAGTCTATGGGCTGTGTTAACACAAACAAGCAGACCACCCCTAAGGTCTGCAGCAGACAAATCTTCCTAACCCAATTGGAGCTGCTCACTGTACTTAAGTACAATCACCTGAGCACATCTGCTTACAATGGGGCATTTCAACTATACCTTCTCCTCAAACTTTAACCTTATTAAGTCACCTTAAAATTTTAATGTCATGATTAATTCATTAAATAATTATTTTATTTAGTTAGTTTTTGAGATGGAGTCTCACTATGCTGCCTAGGCTGACCTCAAACTCCCACACTCAAGAGATCTTCTTGTCTTAGTCACCCAAGCAGCTGAGACTTCAGGTGCATGCCAACGTGGCCAGCCAAATAACTAATCACCTTTTTTAAAAAAACATGAAGTAAAGCCTTCCCATGCCACCAGCTGTACCAACTTTCTCAAAGCCTGTTTCTCCACCTATAATAGGAATGATAAAATTATGGGATTTCCCAGGGACAATGCCATCCAGCCCTGAGGGCAGTCATGCTGTGAAAACATAGAGCATGGGTGCCACGTCTAGAGCTGGGAGATCTTGGGCAGGTAATCATCATGAAGCCTCATTCATGCCCCCTGTCTTTAAGAGCTGCTTTGGGAAACAACCCCCCCACCTCACTCCTCCAGCTAAATGGCACTGGGAGAGCCAGGAACTGAGTCTTAGGCTGTACTACTGAGGTAGGCTATATGTTTGTGGGTGACAGTCAGGGCAGGTCTGCAACTTACTGCTAAAGCGGACAGGCTGTGCCACATTCACTGCATGGAAATGTGTGGGGTCACCTCCTCTGGCCCGCCCCTGCCGCGGATCCACAGCCTCCTTTCCATGGTAAGGACGTGTCTCCCCGGTTACTTCTGAAAGCAAAAGAAATGTGCTATGAGTCCCACATGTGCAGCAGTAAGGGTGCACTCATGATGGTTCTCTAAAAAGCACCAAGTTGAACATCAGTTCAGTTCTCCTTAGGGCTGGAAGGACCAGGTGCAGAGTGTGGTAGCAGAGTCCATTTATTTTGGTTTTCTTTAGCACTCTAGAAATCATTGCCATTCACATCAGTTAAACACTGGCTATCTTCTTTTTTTTAATAATTATTATGATATGAGGTCTCTCCATTGCATTTTCCAGCAAGTATAGCTAGTATAGCAAAAGGCCAGACATTCCTGCTTAAAATCCTTTGGCAATGCCAGCTTCACAGGGATGCCAGGTGAGGTAATCTTTTCTAAAACCCAAATTTCCCTTCCCCTCATGTTCCTCCCAATGTTAGTGTGAAGTGGGGATCCACTGTGTATGACCCTCCTCTATATTGCTCATCACTGGCTAAGCTGCCTGCTGTCTATTTCTGACCAGTCTTGAGCTGGTATTGTAGGGCTGCAAGAGCCTCCAAGCCAGGGTCTCAGGATGTTTGTATCTGGCTCTTTAGCACCTGACATAGGCATGGTGTGCAGCAAGCCTTTATGCATGGTTGGAAGTTGTGAACAGGAAGCTGAAGAAGAGAGAAGCATTCTAGTTTTACGAAGCATGACCTAAAAATATTCAGGCCTTTCTACACAGTCTCTTTTGAGCAGACTTAAAAAAATGAAGTGATTTACCCAAGGCCACAGAGTAGGAGACAGAGGCAATGCCCCTCCTGGGCCAGCCTACCTTCTACTCCACCTGTACTTTCCAAGTAAAGGGCAGCTGGGGCAAATTCAGGAAAGACGGGCAACAAATTTTGTCTGCATGGCTGCACACAAACAGAAAGACAGAAGACATGCTCTAGCTACAGATGGCTTCCCTCAAGCCAGAATGGGACAGAAGACTTAGGAAGCAGGAGACAGGAGTTCCTACAAACCCAAATTATCTGATGCCACAGCTGGCAATCAGCCCCACTTGACTGAAGAATTTCTACCCATCAGACTCTGCTAGTGTTATGAACATTGTTTTAAATTTAATGTGAAAAAAGTTTGGAAAAATAATATGTATAAACCATTACTACATTTGGGTACACCTCTCCACTCTCTTTTTCTCCACACAAATCCTTAAATATACTGCAATAAAGGCAGGGGTGTAGCTCACTGGTAGAGGCTCGATTAACATGGCCCTGAGTTCCACCTCCAGCACGGAAAAAAAAAAGGAAAAAATAATGAGGTCATACAATTCTATTATATGAATTGCTTGGTAAGCTTACAACTATAACCAGCCTTCTGCATTCTTAATAAGAATGTAGCTTTTAAGTTTTTAAGGGTTGTATAGTATTTCATGGATGTATTTCATAACCATTGAGTTTTTGTGTTGTTCTATGAAAGGCTACATAGGCTACACTGAATAATATGTACAAAAATCTCCATGTGTTCCTCATTGTTTCCTTTGGAGATCCTGGGCAAGACAGATTGTACAAGCTTTGCTTCCTTCAATCACTAAATATTCAGCTATTACTTCCATAGCTCCTCTCAGGCACATGATGAAGAACAGTTGCTATTATACTGGGAATCATTGTAAAACATACAACGTACTACCACTTTTCAATATAAGTTCAGCACAAAGCAAAGGATTCAAAGTGGGAAGCATCTTCAAGTATTCATTGTGCATTTTCAAAACCTCTGGTGCCCAAAATGCAATGTGATCAGTAACCTGACACTGAGACAAGCCTGATTTTAAGGCTGCTCTCTGCAAACACCTAGCACATTAGCTTGCTAGGACTCAGCACTCCCTGCATTACCCAGAAATGTGGGAAGGGGGATTCCCAAACTTAGAGCATCTCTGACATGGAGGCAGTACCCAGGACACAGACCCTTCACGGGAAGAGGAGGAACACTAATACAAGACATGTAAGTGCTGGGTGGAGAAGGAAAGAGTCATACAGGCTTCTTAGCTGGACTTTAGACAGGAAGCTGAAGAGGATTGAGAACAGAAAGGCTCTGGACAGAGGGAAGAGCTTGGGAAGAGGGCAAAAGTATGTACATCTAGGACCAGATTAGGTGTGGCTCAAGTATATTTCACTAGCTAAATTTGACATCTCCCCTTTGTCTGCTCAAACAAGCAAAACCTGTGATTCCACTTTGTATCTTGGCCTCTTCCCCAAACCAAGACCAGTATGTAGGAAACTGCTCACCAAAAAAAAAAAAAAAAGACGAATCTACGGCAGAGGGAGGCAAAGAGAAGGACAAGATCGCACAGAGGAATTGCTTGGTCACATGGACACTGAGATCACATATGTGGATGCTGACTGTCTGAGGGAAGCCATCTGTAGCCTAAGGGTGGAGGACAGGTGGAACATTTGAGGCAAATGGTGATACAGAAGTTCCTTTGTGGGCTGGGGTTGTGGCTCAGTGGTAGAGTGCTTGCCTAGCACCTGTGAGGCACTGGGTTCAATTCTCTGCACCATATACAAATGAATGAATAAAATAACAGTCCATCAACAATTTAAAAATATTAAAAAAAAAAAGTACCTTTGTGCTGAACAAGCTTCTCTGGGGCTAAGGTAGCAATTGTGAACCCTTTTCTTTTCCTTCATTCCTCTTTATATACCAATTCATTCATCTCCACACTAACTTATTTATTAAATGTCTACTACGTGCCCAACAAGGAAACCCCCAGCACTGACACAGGCCCTTACTAGCAAGAAAGGAAAAAGAAAGACAACGATACTGGTGACAGTTATATGAGGGACTCCTAAGTGTCCTGGGGAAAACTGGGGAATGGGTAGAGCACAGGATTAGCAGCCTTTCAGATTTCTTAGGAGAATCTCTGACAAAATTTCCCTCTTCCTACTGAGAGGCAGCTTGTGGGTATGTAGCTAGACACCAGGCCCTGCTGTCACTGCTGAGCTGACCCACATGTGGCTAATCTTTGAGTGCTACTTCCAGGATACACATCCCAAAGCAACTTTCTTTCTCTCCCTTTCTTTGTTCCAGGCACTGTCCTAGGCACAGGGACTATACCAATGAACAAACAGTGGACAATCTTATTCCCTTTATCAAGAAGTTATATCCTCTAACTTTTCCGTCAGGCAACTGGACAGGGCCCCTCTAACTATGATGAGGTTGAGTTCAAGTGGGCTGAACTCAACCCCTGACATCTTAGAAAGCAGCAACATAAGCAGCCCATGGGGCCCCATGGCCAGGCTGCTCTTTGGTATTTAGAATAGCTCTTTTCTCTTCAGATTTCCTGGCCAAGACTGCAGAGCTACTCCTGCTGCCAAAGATGGAACAGGAATCCATGGAGCGAGACCTGAAGCAACCATGGTTTAACTGGTACTGAAAATATGAGGGAAGAGGAATGTTCTTTCAACAGGAAAATCAGGTTCAGCAGGGTCAGGCCAAATACTCCAGAGTAGGGGTGGGGAATAAGGGCACCAGAGTCAGGGCATCCTCCTCCTCTAGAGCCACAGGTTATGGGCCTGACAGGCAGGCTGTCTGCTCCTAGCCCACCGCATCTCTGGGCCCTGTGGCCTCACCTCCTGGCAGTAGCTAATATGCCTGATAGTCTCCTTCCCCCTCAGATAACCTCACAATGGGAGCTGAGGATGCTAGAGCACTGCAAGTCCAACAAAGAAACTGAGTCAAAACAGTCTGTGGCATGCTTGCTTCTGAAAAGCATTCAAAAAGGATTATTTGCAAATAAAGGACAAAATGTGAGGGACTTTAACTTGTGTTTCTAAAAATTTAAAAACTTGCCCATATAGAGCATTAGAGTCCAGATGAACGTGTTTCTTCCCCAAATAAAGGAGAGGACAAGAGGACTTGAGCTTCTTTAGTACTCCCAAGTTGTCAGAACTCATATCCTTTTCATACTTATACCCAAGTTAGTCTGCAGTCATATTCAAAAGTCAAATATTTGGGGGTTGGGGATGTGGCTCAAGCGGTAATGCGCTCACCTGGCATGTGTGGAGTGCTGGGTTCGATCCTCAGCACCACATAAAAACAAAATAAAGATGTTGTGTCCACCGAAAACTGAAAAATAAATATTAAAAATTCTCTCTATGTCTTCTCTCTTTCTCTCTTAAAAAAAAAAAAAAAAAAAGTCAAATATTTGTCATGCCAGGTATAGTGATACATGCCTATAATCCCAGTGACCCAGGAGGTTGAGACAGGAGGACAGCAAGCTGAAGGCCAGCTTGCACAACTCAAAGAGACCTTGTCTCAAAGTCCCCCCAGCCCCACAAATAGTTTTTTAAAAGGGCTAGAGATTTAGTTCAGTGGTAAAGTGCCCCTGGGTTTGATGCCCAGTATTGCTCCCCAACCCCTGAACAAAATAAAAATAAAAAATTCAATGTCTTTAAGTCAGATAATACTTGTTATTAAATAGAATTCTTAAAATCAGAAAGCCAGAAAAAAAATTCCTAATGGTACTGACACTGTGTCATGCAGGTTCTTTAAATCTGATTATTCTAATGTGCAGCCAACACCAGGGCCACCTCACTTATTGAGACTTACTCGAGGATGTGCCCCAGTGGCTGCCATCTGTCTCTGTTCTTCCAGGATTTGGAGGTTGTGCTTTAAAAATATCAATAGGAGTACTGTTTGCTTTTCCATTTTATACCCATGAGAGGTATATATAACCCCCCCAAAAAATAACTGCAAAAATATACCCCTTCAAGTTCCGAGTTCAAAATCTATCTCCGCTGTTTCTTCTTGGGTTCATGAATGTCTTTGGCACCCTTGTCTCAATCCAGATCTTAGCAGAAAAAATTTCAATCTTGACATCATTGACATTAACTGTAGGTTTTCATATATGGCCTATATTACATTGGGGTAGCTTATTTCTATTTCTGTGTGTCTTGTTCTTATCATAAAATACTGAATTTTGCCATTAAATGCTTTTCCTGAATCAACTGAAATTATCATGTCTCTTTCCCCCACTACATTTTGTATCAATG